TGAAACCTGTCGCACAACCTTGCGTTTCGGGTCTGATGCATTCGCGTGCGTATGAATAAAAAGTCTAGCGGGGCGAAAAGTCTAGTGGGACTGCAGCTTTAGATTTTTTTTGAAAATTACATTTTTAAAGACAACTATCCAGCAAAAATAAATAAATAAAATCCTATCATCATTTTAAGATGAGATTTTGTTGGTTTGTTTGTTTGTTACAACCTACAAATTTTAAACGGCTTCCGCCAACCCAACACAATCCCACGGCAAGTCGTAACTTTTTGATTAAGAATTTACATGTTTGAGCCCTTTGATTTAGAATGATTTGCTCTTCTCCCAGTGATGGTTGGGTTTAGGAGCAGGGTTTGGTGCCACGCCTCCTTTTTTAAATTCATACATTTTGTACAACTGAACTTTTACGAATTAGCCACTAAACTGACAAAACGTAAATAGTAATGTTTCCTCGTGAGATCAGGCTGGCCAACCAGAGGGGAGAAATCTACTTTTGGTATAAAAATTTATATTTTTTATAAAATAGCAACCCTTAATTTGCACACATTTTTGAAACTGGAAAAAATAGTTGGTTTTTAAAACAAATTAAAATCTGCTGTCGTTACAATTGTCTCTGAAAATGTCATCTATAAAACTACAACAAAAGTTTTGGCTAACAGAAATCAAGATGAATTTTATACCATCTCTTACATTATTGGCCAACAGATCACAATGCATGTACTAAAATTACAACCTACAAAACTTGACAAATCATGTAGCATTCCTATAAAATTACAGCCGATAAAAATTTCCGCAACTTATTTTTTCTCTCCAGTTTTAATTTTAAGACTTCGATTATCACTGGAGAAATTAAGCACAATGCAAACAATTTACATAAGTTGAATTTAAGTAAATAATTTGAACATTACTGAATTTAATTTGTTTAAATCCAGCCCATTTAAACTGTCTACAAACACTTACCTTAAAAAAATCCAATTAAACATTTTTTTCAGTGCAGAAATGGTCAAAATATATAGCTATTGTGAATGTGACAACTAGCCCCAGTCTCTGAGTTTTATTTTTATTTCCATTAACTATATACTATTATAGCAAGCCAATAAACAGGATTGCAAACTGCCAGTCAAACACTGAGCTCAGAAAAGTGTAGAATGGTCCCTGAATTGAGGCTTTGCAGACCCCAGTTTGAGCTTGCACAGCAGTGCTGTAGTCTTGTATATTTTCTGATAGGATATAACGTGTACTAACACAGATCCCTCTCTCAGAAACAGTTCACTCACTTACCCAGAAGTCTTTGTTAAGCTAGTGACGGAATGTGTTTGTGAACGAATGAGGGAACACTTCGACTGTGTTTTTAATCTGTCCATGTTCAATATGTGAATATATGAAATATATATAAATATATAATTATATTCTATGAGTATAAAAATATATCACTGTTGTATTAACTTGAAATAGTCTAATCATGTATCTCTTATTACAGAATTTAGTGCCTTTTTTGGACAGTAGACTGTTCTGTAATTAATATGTAGTATAAACGCATATGCTTTGTTACTTTTTTAAGTTTTGTTTTGACACTTTTGTTTCGTTCGTTCTTAAGTTGTTTTTAGTTTAGAACTGTAAACCTTCTAGAGAATAAAGATTTAATGAGCTGAAACATGGTGACTTGGTTTTTATTTGTCGATTCATGATCTTGCCTTTCAATTAAGGATTCAAACAGATCCATCCAGCAAAATATCTTCCTAAATAAAATACTGAATAAATAAATGCATTGATTATAGCCTAAATGACAATGCTGAAAAATGTACATATACCCTAGTCAATATAGCAAAGGCTAAATTCAGGTACTTTCATTTAAATTACAGTTATAATGAATAGTGCGCAAACTTTTAATGACAATTATGTTTTTAAAATGAAGCAAATTGTACTGTAAAAATCAAGCCCAAGTACCATTACTTACCTAAAAATGTAGTGCAAGTAGATAAAAAGTACCTGTTGTAAATATTACTCACTGTATGAGTAAACAGTAGCCCTTTTAAAAGTATTTAAGAGTAGTGAGCAGTGAGTATTACACTGTAAAAAGCTGATGCATTTGCATGTAATTTGTGGATGTGTAAACTTAACATTCTGTAGTGCATTTAGTTATTGCCCAGCAGGCACACAATGTCATTAGATGTTAATAATAGGTTAAATTTAAGTCGTGATGTCAGGGGTCCAAAATTCAATGTCTAGCCAGCGTCTAAGGACGTTATTTTTTTCCAATAATGACGTCAAATGACGTTGATATTTGGTCGATTTGAGGTTGTGTTGGAAAGTGACTAAAATCCAATGTTGAGCAAACATCTTAAACCCACATCATATTGACGTCAAATACTGACATTTATTCATCAGGTATCGCAACCAAAATGCAACGTCTGATAGACGTCATAGTGGTAACGTCCACACAGCGTCAAGCTATTACATCATTAGACGTTGATATTTGGTTGATTTTAGGTTGAACAAAAATAAAAATATACGAAGTCCCCAAGACATTGGGTAGAACATCATTCTGACGTCCAGTTGATGTCCTGCTGGATCATTAAGGCAATTTCGGTCATCATACAATAAACATCCGTCATCTTCTCATTAGTGTCATGCATCCAAACCAAGCGTCACCAAACTTGTTCCTGGAAGTCCGGTGACCTGCAGATTTTAACTCCAACCTTAATCAAACACACCTGAACAAGCTAATCAAGTTCTTACTAGGTATACTGTACTTGAAACACCCAGGCAGGTGTGTTGAGGCAAGTTGCTAAACCCTGCAGGGCACCGGACCTCCAGGAATGAGATTGGTGACCCCTGATCTAAACAGTCTCTGGGTCATTGCGTATAAAGATTTCGGACATCTTCTTGGACACTTTTAATACTTCCAAACAGTTTGCTGCATTTATAAAGTGTCCAATGTCTTGAGGTAGTTCATTATGATGAGATTTACTTTCTAGGCGTGATTTGATTGGACAGAATTCACAGGACTGATTTTTCTAATAACAAGAAAAAAAATATAGTAACTGCAGGTTGAAGGAGAGTAGTGGAGTAAAATAACGATACTGCACTAAAATTGTACTCAAGGGAAAGTAAAAGTTTCACATTTTTAAAACTTAGTAAATTACAATTTCTGAGGAAAAAACTACTTGAGTATTTGTAATGTTACTTTTACCCACTGGCTGGTTTAGTGCACCGTATATCTACAATTTTTAAGCCAACTATGAAGTCGAGTGAAAATGTAATGCAGTGCCTACTTTCCTCTAGTTTGCCGAACTGCTTTTTTGAGCTAAATATCCCATCCAGGCTTTCTTAATTTGTTTCCGTCTACGAAGCAAGCATGACGTGAATTTCGGTAAGTTCTTCGGCCTACGTTATGATTCTCGTTTATTTATTTAGTCCTGTAGTTGTAAATCAGAAGAGATGATGAGATGATTTCAATGCCAGCTTGAAGGGCTTGACTGGATGTGGTGAAGAATAGCCTATATCTGTGGCGACACATCAAAAAGTCGTTGTTTTGTGAAACGTTAATCTTGAATTCTCAGCCACTCAATATTTTTTGGTAAAAATGATACAAATTTCTTTTTTAACTGATAATATTACCTTACAGAATAATTATCGCACACCTCAAAGTTATTTTGGATTTTTTCTGTTAGCCTACCTTAAAGGGATAGCTCACGCAAACATGAAAATGTAACGTTAATGTTACTTGGGGACTTTAAAGAAAAAAAAAGTTTTTTTTCTGTTGAACAAGATATTTTGAAGAAAATTAGAACTCAGTAACGACATCTATTGTGTGAAAAACACAATTAGCGGTTTCCAACATTTGTCAGAATATCTTGTGTTCAACAAAACAACAGCAAAACTATATTATACGTACTTGCAATTAAAATACAGAAAACGTTTGGCATGATGTCAAGATATAAAAGAATCACAGAAAATAAATCAGGCCTGTACCCAGCCTGGTGAAAGGGGTGGTTCTTTTTTTCTCAAATAGGGGACCTTTTTGTAGGTATTTGCCTCATTTTGTATTTTTGAGGTATATAAATACTGCATTTTAGTGACATTTTTAGCACTTATTTTTTTGGTTGGGGGGGGGGGGGGGGGGGTTATCATAACCACACTTTTTGAGGTACCAGAGATATTTCCTAAATATTTAGAATAAAGAAATAAAAAAATACAAATTAATTTCACCAAATATTACTACAAAAAAAGGAATGTTAAAGTTTTAAATGGAAAACTGTAGCCCATTGTCATTTATTTGGCAAATAACAAACTAGCCAGCACGTTCAATATTCCTCAGTCAGAATTTGTCTATTTCAATAAAAATTATTAAAAGATTTTGAATAAAAGTTACTTGTAAAATGTTTTTTCTACCTAAAAACAACAGTGGCGAATAAGACTTCTCTTACGTCAGATATTGTCTATTTTCTTGCACAGCTGGATGGATGGATGAAAAACATTTCTTAGCAATGGCCAAAATTACTTAGCTGAAGTCACACCGAAGCTACAGCCAACAAAGGATTCCTCTTGGTACAGCACTTATCAATGGCCCAATATTTAATTATATTTTATCAATATTTTCACACTTAAGAAATGCAATGCAATAAAAGATGGGAACTCTATATCATTGTTTATGGAAGTGTCCTTTGGGAGAAAATTCTAAACCTTTTATTCATTGTATAAAAAAAAAGATACATCTACAGTAAATGTCCAAAAACTACTTATTCTAAATATTTATCCTATTATAAACGAAGTACATGTTAAAAGCTACTAAAATCAACAAAGCCAGTGTTAAAACAATATATAATATCATATGATCAACTGGCTTGTAATAAGTGTGAAGTAAATGACGACGATTGTCTGTTTTAGGTGAACCATCCCATTAAAATTAAGGTCAATAGAGCAAAGACTGCGCTCCCTAAAATCTAAGGAAATACCCCAAGTATAATAAACCATTAAAAGTAATGACACATCTGTTAATCAGTTCACTTTTTATTTGTCTTTTCCTTTTCAGCCAGATTATTGTACAGTCAATATAAAAGAAATTATAAATGAAATATTATACATGATTATTCTTTGGATATCAGCATAGAATTGCAGATAATTAAATTAATCAAACCCAGCCTTGTGCTCCGATTGAACTATCAAGATGCAACTATGTACAAAACAAACAGCATTCACACATATACTGAAATATATGCGACAACTTTCAGGACATGAAATCATCAGGACAGGCACAGACTAGTGGTGAAAGATGGAGCTGTTCACTCACTCACTGCTAAGAAAGAGGGAAGGAGACATTTTTTATTATTTTTTTTTTTTTACAAAAACTAGAGCAGCAACTTCCTGCCAAGAGCTTCGTCTGACATCTGTGTAAACAACAGGGCCCAGAGCGTCCTTCAAAACCTCTTTTTGAAAAAGCGGGAAGGATTTCAAACAGAAGAAGAGCACAAATATCCGCACCTGTATTTAGCATCGACTTCAGAAGGCCACCGTTTGGTTGTTCAGATATGGCTCTGTGCCACTTTATGACAGATCAAGACATCACTGCTACTGGAGACTACATTGTCGAAAAGGGGTGTGATGAGTTAGAAAAATAGTCAATTGCACTTGAAATGAAAGAATACCAATATAAACACATTTACAAGCATCTATGATTGAAATCTGGGGTCGTGGAAGGAGATCAGCTTCAGGAAGTTCATTTCCCCTTTGTAGTCAAAAGAAACAAGCTAGGTTCAAACTGTCAAATTCCTACTGTGTTTTGAGTGTTATTGCTAGAAAGAAATACCTAGTAGAGACTTGTCAGTTCAAAGGCAATCAGTCAGTTCGTGTATTACCTTTAATATAATACTTGGAGAATGACTAGCTGCTAACGTGATCCAGCAGGTCTTAGAGTCTTGCTGTTGCAGCAACAGTCAACTCCATGTGTGCGTTTGTTTCGTTTTTTTCTCCATGATGAATGAGGCACAGATTGAGATACAAAAAAAAAAAAAAAAAATTAAGCAAATTAAGACTGGTTTATACTTCTGCGTAGTGTGATCACCATGACCCACGGCGCATGCCTTGCACGTTGCCATGCGTTTATACCTATGCGAAGTAGGGTCTCTCTGCGGACTGCAAGACGGGTGTAACTTGTAGTAAGTTAGAGGCATAACCTACATGTAAAAACTATGGTGCTGTACATCAGTTATTAACGTCTACACCTACTCCACACCTAAACCCAACCATCAGTTATTAACGTCTATACCTACAACAACCCTGAACTCAACCATCACAGTAACGTACAGCCACGAGTTGCGGAGGTTTTCATACTTGACGCGCTCGCCATTGTACTAATATTTGCAACCACAGGGGGCGACGCCAAGAGGGCAAACTGTCATGACAAAACAGATGAAGTTGTCAACAAATTGCATTGAGGAGTTGCTAAATGAATGGATATAATAATAATAATAATAATAATAATAATACATCAAATGAATTGGTTATGAATACATCTGGAGAAAACCTATGAAAACATTTGGTGAAAATGTTATCTGGTAAGTTTTTCCGCCATCTTGGCAACAGCATTTCACATGGGATCTCAATAACTGAAAGTTACCTCTTTTCTAACTTACTACAAGAAACGCACGTTTATGTTACGCCCCTGTCTTGCAGTTTGCAGACACATTTGCTTCGGCATGCTGTTTGTGTTGCTCTGCAATAACACTTCCGAAACACTAACTGGCAGTAGAGTTTCTTCGCAGGTGTTTTGTTGTTGATGAACACTGCCTTGATGTACAAGCATCTAAAACTCAGTATTCTGAGGCAGGAACCGGCGGACGTGCAACAACTTTAATCATAAGGTAAAGACAAAACTAAATTTCTTCATGGGACTCGACACTTGTAAACACTCGCTCCAACATGTTCGCTCGGCTCTTGGTCCCACCCACACTCGTAACCGCCACCAAGCCGACCGATCACACAGTTTGAGCAACACATCGTAGCGACATGTAGTTAAATATTTTGAGAGGTGTGTGTCAGCGTTGGCCATGGCGAGGATTGACCGCGGGAATGCTGCGTTGGAGCATGCGCTTGACGCAGAAGTAAAAATCAGCCTTTAGTTTTTAGACCGAACACAAACTTCAGGACATCACTTCATTTGAAAACAAATAAAAAGCAATGTGAAACCGCCGCAGAAACTCATCTTTTCGCAGATCGAAATTTCGAAATTTTTTAAAACGAAATTTCGAGCACCAAACCCAGTGAAAAGTTGATTTACAGTGGATCCTTGGTTAGTTTAAGTTAATTTACAACAAAACTAAAGCGCCCTTTGGGCACATAAGCTATCGACTAGAAATCAAATGTGCAAATTAATTTTCCATTCATGGGATTTTTACACTTTATAAAAATCAATGTACATACCTACAACCATTAAAATATATTTGAATAATTTGATATTGCATTAGACTTCAGAAATCGCAAGATGATTTCCACGAAAATAGAATATAAAAGGAATGAAATAACACGTCTTTCTCTATCCATCTTGATGTGAACAAGAGTCATATCAGTATAGAATCATGCGTCTTTTTAAAAACTATAGAAATGTGTCCACTCTGCGCATACTGCTAATATATTTGTGATTTTAGATTTTGACTAAATAAGATGAGGGTATTGTCTGTAAAGGGAAAAATTCATAAAACTGGAATGTGCTTTCACCGTGACCTTCTTGCGGAAGAAAGACCTTCTTGTCTTTACAAACCAATCAAACTGAGCTACGTTAAATTGTCACTAAATTGCAGCACAAAGTCATTTTATGTTGAAGTAGTTTCAATAACCCAATTCCAATTAAAAGGCTGCTTACTAAAACGAGCCCCAACCCATCAGATTGTAAATAAGTCCTCTAAAATGATTTCTTTTTTTGTTCACTCCAATCATCAAACCTATTAAGAGAGAGCCTAATTAAGCCAGTCAATTAAGCCTGAATGTGCCAATTTAGTCAAGTCTAAAAACTCTCCATGTGCAATCAAGGATACGCACCGAGCTGGCAGTTTAATCTTAAAATACTGATAGGCAATCCAAAACCAAATAAAATATTCCATCTTGTGGTTTTAGTCATGCAATCACTGGCCAAGTAATAGTAGTACTCAACAACATGAAGAAACCGACATCAATCCCCTGCATTGACCTGCTCAGGGCGATAACCTTTCTCAAAATATATGCTTGATAGCGGCTTAGAGCTGAAGACCAAACAGGGTGTCTTAACACACTTCCATTAACTCTGATCAGATCCCTGAGATACATTGTTTGTCTACCATAGCATTTATTACGTTCTAACTAGTGTTATCAAGGTGCAATGAGGGATGATGACCAAAGAATGGGTTGACTTAAAAGGCACATTCAGGAGACAAGTAATCGACTACTGACTGCACAGACAGGACAAATCAAGCATAATTTGTAGTATTTGTAGACTCCGGGGCACAAACAAAAGAATGATGGGTTGATCCCAAAGACCCGGAAGATTCATTTATGGTCAAACCCAAGAAGACTTGCATGTTAAAAAAATCCATAGCACTCCCACATGCTACACACTAGCACAGCACCGAAACTGATGTAAGGGAATGTTGTACCACCTCCATGCAAAATTGGGTATAAGAATGCTCCATTAGCCCAAGCACAGTGATGGATAGAGGTGGAGGTTCTGTCCTGCTCAGCTCAGTCAATTAGCTGGTCCAGGATTTGCGATTCTCTGCTTTCTGAATGGCAGTGCCGGTTCCTCCCCTCAGCTGCTGACTGAACTCCCCACTGCGCCGGTTTTCATTGTGTCTTTTAGAAGCTTCCCGGCGGCTCAGTCGATCTGGACGGACAAGTACTCCAAAACCAGGGTTGCATCGAAAGTATTGGTGGCCCTCGACAGAACCATCGTTCTTACCTGGTGGACAAGGGATACAGAAGAACAGGGTCTCATCAAGACCAATACTGTGTCCCAATTCCCATACTATCCATCTTAAATAGAATTCAAAAATCAACCCAGGCTCATTGTGGAAACGTAGTCCCGCGGACGTTTTTGGAGACCGCGGAATACGTCCCGGGAGGTACGTACGGCTGCAGTTTTTGTTTTTGCGAATCTGCGAGAGGCCGCTGTTGTGCGCTTTTCCGCATTTCAAACGTCTCTCATGAGTGCAGTTATGAGTGCAGACTGCGCTACCGGCCAATCGGCTGACCCACCCTCCTCCTTCCCTAAACCCAACCAATTTTACAGATTGACCCGCCCGCCTCACTTCCCTAAACCCGAGCAACAGTTTACAAAAGCCATCCAAAAAAGAAAAGCCCTGATTTTTTTTTCTACCGCGTTTTCGGATTTCACCGCATTCTCACCCTGTTATAAAACTCGTTCACTTAATTTTTGGGATTCTGTTTTTGTCTTACCTGATTGCTGGAACCACTCTTCCCCGGACTCGAAACCGATCACTGTGGTCAACTCCTCTCTGCATCTCAAGCCTGTCGACGTACACGGTGAGCTGAGTGGACAAACGGGTTGCAGCGGAAAAGCCCTCCACAAGGAGGTAAGCGGTCGGCCGGCCGGCAAGCGCGAAAGGGAACAGCGTCACACCGCTCCGCAGCGTTCGCTTGAAAAAAATAAATGCAGCCGTACGTACCTCCCGGGACGTATTCCGCTGTCTCCAGAAACGTCCGCGGGACTACGTTTTCAGAATGAGCTTGGGTTGTCAAAAATAAAATTAGTGTGTCCCAAGTCATAGTATGTTGATAATCCAAAGTTACTAAAAAGGTCTAATTCCGGTAGCAATTCGAGGTACAGTTGCTTATTGTGATGTGTCAAGATGATTGACAGGTATACATAAGGAATATAATGCCCCATTAATGAGAAAGTATTATATCCGAAAGCTTGCATACTCCTGTTACACACTCGAAAGTATATACTTTTTCTATAAACATTACATACTTTTAGGATGTAGCATAAGTAAGCAAATTGGTATGCAGCATCTGTTGACCTCTAAGAAAAAGTTGTCAGATAATAGAGTACTTGACATACCTGAGGGAGTGTCCAGCTCAACGCCGACCCAGACGCCTTCTGAGAAGTGCGTTGGACCGATGTAGCGGACTGTGCCGGACTTACTGGTTCCGACAGTGACTCTCCCTCCAACCTTGAGCCAAGCAAGTTCCTTGGGTTCTGCATCCTCGAAGGTGATCTCCAACTTCTCCAAGATGTTAGTGGTTGCTTTTCCATCACCGTCTCCAAGAATGTTACTGAAAGACCTGAGTTCATTGGCTTTGACCTTCTGTAGGGAGAAAGGGTTGTCCGTGGAGGTACTCAACACTGGGTTTGTCTGTAGCTGTGCTTCCTGCTGAGAGGTGGTGACGCCATTCCTGTGGGCCGCCTCCTCGTGTTTATGTCTGTCAGATCTTATCCCAGCTTCTACAGGAGCAATAGAGGCATTAACAGGGGTTGCAAGACATTCTTCACTGTCCTCCCCTCTTTGCCTGGATGCTACAGAACCCAGCTGGGTATTGGGAGTAGGGGTAAGGTCCCCGCAAGCTATGGAGACATCGGAAAGGGTGGCAGTGGAGACGCTAGTAGAAAAATAGCCACTGGAGGCCTCGCTGATGGGGCTCAGGGGCAGGTCATGCGGATCATGCATAGAGGATGGGGCATCAGGAGCATCTGAGTGTCTGTCTGAAGAAGGGCTCTTCCCCATTACTGCAACCTACGGGGGGGAAGCACGTCCAAAACCACAAGGAATATTTAACTACACCTCAACTTATCATCTGACTCTCACATGCTAGGAAAACCACAGATTTAATAGCATGCAATTTACATCACATGCAGGAAAGAAAGTCTGGCCTCTTAAAAATATCTTCCTAGGCTATACTTTTGCAAAAATGCAAGTCTGTAAGTCAATTCATCATTCATATTTATTTAATTTCGCGAAAGACGGAGCATGAGATCAGAGTGGAGATCTACTTACCGGTTCTATTCTTACTCTTCCTTCATCAGGGTTGTTGGCTGTTTGCATCATTATCCGTGGCATATGCTGGGGAGATGAATGGAACGCATTAAATTTGTTTTTACGATTTCAGTAATGGTTTTCAGAGAGGCGGCACAAAGCTTGATTTAAGTGTCATGGGTTCATTTTTTATGTTGGGAGCCTTTGGATTACGTTTGATCTAATGTACTGACAGATCAAAAGTCTGTATGCAGGGGAGGACTGATGTAGACGATGAAATATCACTGTCATATTTTCCCCCTTCTCTACGCCTCTGTAGAAAGCATGCTGGGAGATATGATGAAAGGGTATGGATTGACAATTAATCTTGGGGAAATTAAACACTGGAGTTTATCTGTGGACTCCTGTCTAACATATAATCAGGTTTCCCTGACATGATTTACTTTGACAAAATGAGGACACTGTTTTAATCATGGAAAACCAAAAAGCCCGCTTTTCTCACACACACAAAAAAATCCACCAGCAAGCAATAAGGCTTAATTTAAAGACTTAATATGCTTCATATGAGGTGGATAATATATCATGGATACATCTGCAATGTAGTAACATATGGGATTTCTGTCTATATGGAAATGAAGCAGCATGAAGAGAACAACGTTGCACTAGCATCTAAAATTGGCTTAAATTAAATCGGTCAAAAGCATTTGCATGCCTCTTTGATTACCTCATATGATTTACTCATCTAAATGCAGCAGATTTCTGACAGGCTTTGTAGGCACTAATTCTGCTATTTTTATGACGGATCCTTCTCATTTTTTATATATTCATGCATGAATCACACCATGAAGCTACTGTACAGAAATGTCTGTAAGCATAAATATGGCTCATACTTTGAATAAATGAAATGAAGGGAGAGCTTTGAAATGGCAACAAACTTAGAGAAAATCAGTGAATCTCATTAAAAATGCCAAGAAAAAAAAATGTTTTTTTTGTTACAACAAGAAACCAAGTTTTACCTCAAGCTTTTTAATCTGCTATACTGTAACATCAGCATCAACACAAAATTACACTTTTAACACTCCAGTCCACTTACTGGATATATATTATATTTTATGCGTGCATATAAATTCTTTGCATATTCATTACAGGTTTTAAATATTCTTTTGCTTTTAGCATAAACAATGATCTGGAAAGTTACGATAAAGAGTTCCTACTATAGGTTTTTGAAAAGTACCTTCTTTGTAATGTGCAACACAGCTCTAAGTGAGTGAAAACATCCAGCTGAGGGTTAAATCTGAAAATACACCTGGTTTACAAATATCTTTTTTTAATAAAAGATTCGACTCAGAGTCGTTTAAATGATTCTTTGTTCGTCTGAATATTTTTTCCTATTTGTATCGACGTCGACATGAAACTATTGCAAATATGAATTACCTGATCTAGTAAAACATGAATGCGCCTTTTCCTTCAGACACTAACAGAGTGCGAGGATCATAGGACTGATCATGATGCGAAGATTACCATCACTAAGATATGGCCAGACATGCGACTGAGGGGAATAAAGGGTTAAAGTTCATTTTCACAACAACAACACAGTATAGCCAACCGTGTGCTGCGTTTGTTCCTGTCATTTTTGATGACAGGAATGATTGATACAATAACCTGCGCTGCAACACGGGATTTGCTGGCCGTTTGTTATTAAACAAAGGATCAGCAAATACTACTAATGTATGGGACATTGTCAGTAACTGTTATACAGTTTGTATGGACCAGTTTCTTCTTCCTCCAGATCCTCTAACTGCTTCCTTCCTACACAAGTGTGATTAAAACGGTTCGCTTTCTGTACTTAACAAAATATGTATTTAATTGTGTGTTGTAACTTGTAACCGCTCAGCGTGGCTTGTAATCAGATATCTGTTATAGATCAGTGCTTGTACTGTCTCAGGTTAAATCTCTATTGGCTATTTCACATATTGCGTCCAAAACTACGATGAAAACGTGACGTGTGCTTCATCCTTTATCGATTTAAATGCATGTTTTGCTCGTGATCTCCTGCTGTTTGTTGCTATGGCCATCGAGACCCCTAAAATCAAAATATGACCTTTTATAATGCATAATATTGACTCACCCAGGCAAATAAAGCAAGGTTTTGCGCATAGTTTACTTAATAAATTAAAAGTCGAAAATGAGTCCAGACCTGTTGGGAGTGTGGAGAGGGTCTCAAATCTTTCTTTTCATCGCGTACAGGGAACAGCGACTTGAGCAGCTTGGGCATCTGTGGTACCAGGGCCTTGACTGGGGAGATATAAGAAGCAGCAAGCCCTGAAAAACCTGAGGGTGGGTCGGGAAGGAGGCAAACAGCAAGGTAGAGGTGTGGAGAGAGAGACGACAATGGTGGTGAAACAGGGACAGATGTAGAAAAGATATAAAAGGCGTGCATGAAGACAGAAAAAATGTTGAGTATATACAAAAATGTCACTGACATTTTTTTAGAGAGATTACAAATAGACAAGGTGAAGAGAAGTTCAAAAAGACTTGGAGAGATTTCAAGTGATAACCAGAAGGTTGCAGGTTCAAATCCTAAAGTTGCATAAGCATTGACACGTTTACAGCATTGAAAGTTGAAATGACAGACAAATAAAGAATGATTCATGGAAAAGGGAAGAATATTTTATAGGGATGCACTGATATGTAGATTTTAGCAGATACTGAAAGGTCTTTATATTTGGAAGCCTATAACTGATATATACTGTAGATGGATAAACACAAAACTTTATGTACATTTTCCTGAGCAATTGCTTTTATTTTAAAATCCTACACTCAAAAAAACTGTGTTTATTTTGTGCTCAAATTACTTGATTAAAATGAACTGAAACAACACAATTTTTCAGTTTTTTGGGGGGGTAACTTAATTGTTTTATGCTTAGTCCACTTAAATTCGTTAAAACCAAGCCTACTCAATTTCTTCATGTTGACCCAACACAAATCGATTACGTGGAACCCAGCATTTTTTACAGTGTATAACTGCAGAAGACAAAGAACCAGCGAGAAAACATCTACATCTATAATTTCCCAATATAATCTGCAAGTTACAAGCAAGTCCTTTTTATAATATATAATAACCTCATTTAAACCCATAAATAATCCATAACTTATAATTGATAAATTATTATTTTCATCCAATTAAAAATAAGCATTTATCAGCCGATATCGTTAACCGATATATCATGCATCTCTATTATCTTATTGCAACAATCATTACATTTATTCCATAAATGTCATACCTTGTTCAGGGTCCTGACTCTGTGTTGGAGGTGTAGGAGGTCTGGATGGTCGTGGCAGTGTTTTGCTAAACCCGGAAGATGTTGCAAAGATATCCTGCTGGCTTTCCCAACGATTCTTCCATAAGCAAATTGAATATCAAAGGTTATTTCCTGTGTTATTAACTCCCTATTTCCTGTGGTCTACCATGTGTCTTGTTTTTCCCCATAGAAGCTTACCTTGTTGTCATCCAGAACTGAATTTAGTGACAGATCCTGTCTGCTTCCAGATAACTAAAGGAGAAAGAGGTGATTTGGGAAGAGATCACAGCAGGCTCTGATGATGCAGAGTGTCCTTAATATTTCTGTCTATTAGGATGACTGTAATGCTGCAGATGCTCTTACCCGATGCACACTGGGAGAGCTGAGACTGCGTCTGCTGCCCTTGCCTTTTCCTGCCAAATGCTCTTTCACAGCCACCTCCTGGAGCACAAAACAGAAACTGATTTACATGATGGAAAAACAATGAAGTACAGTAATTTTAAAGAATCATTTTAAGGTAAATATTGCGCTTTTAACATTATTCTTCTCTGTTTCACTCCTCAACAAAAGTGATTTAAAAAGTCTTGTGAAAATAAAAGGGTAACACTTTAAAATAATGGTCCATTAGTTCATGTTGAAGCATTAATTAACATTAACCTAGTTTGAAGCATCTTGTAAAGCATTAATTAATCATAGTTCAACATTTCCTAATCCAAAGTTGTGCTTGCTAACATCAGTTAATGCAGTATAAGTTAAGATGAACTAACATTACGGTATATAACTTAAATCACATTAGGTAATGTTAACAAAGATGAATTAATACCATAATAAATGTATTAATAATTGTTTGTTCTTTTTAGTAAATACATTAACTAATAGACCATTTTTGTGTTACCAATAAAAGTACTAATAAAAATTTAAGGTAGTGGTTTACTGCCTTTGGTGAAGCAAATCTATCTGTTTGCTGGATTCAGATTTTTAAAACATGATGTGACCTGTCTCAGGCGGTCCAGTGTGAGGATGTTCTCCACAGCCAGGACGCTCCGTAGGTACTTCTCTATGGCAGCTTCATTATCTGAGGATTTGGGGTTCTCCGCGCTGGCGGCCACTCGGGCCAACATCTCCCTGTCCTCTGAGCTTTGACTGTCCTGCTGACGTACACAACAGAGAGAAAGTAGGGTTTGAGAGATGGTTTGCTTGTTAACGACCTGGTTTAAAAAAACAAGTTTCAATAATAAAAATGTATGTCTTGTGAGCAATAGCCTACTAACAAGGTCTTTAGTTGTAGATAGCTCTGAAGTGATCCATACATTATTAAAAGACAATTTCACCTACTATTACAATTTTTCCGGCAAATAAGTCACTTTAAATCCTCTGATGCATGCTTTGACTTGTGCAAGACATCAATAAGACATGCACAGTTGTATTGGTGAACATTTATAATTGCAATGATATTTATTGTAATTTTTAAAACTGTATTGCACTAAAATATATATTTGTTTTAAGCTTCTAGTTTTTATTTCACTTATACATGTATACCAATACAACTCACAACCATTTAATTTTGACCAAGTGAATCTTATCTTCTGGAAAATACTTCATAGTGTTTAGCAAGACCTTAAAGGGCCATGAAACCCCCTTCTTTTGGTTCAAGTCTACCTCAGAAATAAAACAATTTAAAAATTCTCTGAGATGGGTGAGCAGAGGGAGGAGTGGGCGTGGCCAGCAGAGCAGGGGAAAAAGAGGAGCGAACAGTTGGCTCACAAAATAAGACAAACCGTGAGGACACCCATGATTTTATAGTTTACAAAGTTAAAATGCAAAAAAAAAAAAAAAAAAACAGTAATTTAATGCCCTGCTAAATTTGTTATTCGTAATTTCATATACACATAACCACAATTTGTTCTATCATTATAAAGATAATAATGTTTATATAAACTCTATAAATAAGGAGGACTTTTCTCCTTCTCAATCCCCCGGTCTGAATGCAGACACAGTGGATAGCAGTGCAGAAGGTCTCTTGCCCCATCTATTCCAACCATTAACCCTGCCGGTAATCTGGAGGATTTTAAACATAGGTGAACACAGCAGCACAGATATAAGCACATGCTCTCATGAATAATTAGGAAGCAGGGTCTTCTCATAGGGCAACTCCGCTATAAACAATATTGAGAAATCGTCATCACTCCACTAGAAGATTCGCGCTACGTCAACGATTTTGATCACGCCCCAAAATCTTTTTAAACCCAGAAGATGAAATTAGCTGACAAAATCTCAAAGTTATTCACTTTTCTCCACAATTAAAGCTAACAGGTGCTAATGTCGTCTTAAATGATGCTCAACAGACATAAATCTGTAAAACAAAAAATGTAAAAAGTACTTCAGGGTGTCTGGAGCAAATCAGGCAGTACCCACTTGAACAGAACTGTGCTGAAATGGTTTAAAAATGTGAAATACCACAGTTGTATACTTCAGAATCACAAATTTTGAGATCTGTCATTTTTTATACCACCACATCTAAATGTTAAGTTTTTGAAAACTAAACATCCTTGTAAGAGATGATCCAAACTAGTAGAGGAAAAAAAACACCCAATGCAGTCAACTTTAGGTAGTTACCCAAAAGTTTAAGGATAAGATTTCATGAATATCATGAGGAAAAATATGAAATAAAACAAAAAGGACAAGGATAGAGTTAAAACCCCTTCTTCAAAGGACTGAAATCAACTCAAAACCCTAACTGCTGCACTAAGTTTCACAGTGTCAGACAAATCAATGTGAAGGTTAGGAAATTGCATTAATTGCTACAAAACTTGGGATTTCATTCTTTCACATGCTAATAAACCCATTTCTTGTATTCTGCAACATGTGTGAGAGCAGGTTATCGTGTGTTATATTAGTTTCTGTTTTGAAATAGTACCATAAAGCTTGTATTTAGAAGTGTCTTGTCAGAAATTAATGTCTTAAATTGCTGATTATATTACTATGCTAATAAAAAGTAGCTTTAATCTACAGATGTTAATGTTTAGTTGATCACTGGATGATTAGTTTGATCAGGCATAAAATAACATTTCTGTTAGACTCACAAGTAAATTATTACTATGTTCATATTTTGAAAGAGCTTTTTTCAGGTGATTGCAAAGTACACACAATTATAATTATTGTGCTGTAAGTACGTTTTAGTATGTGTATTGTATCAACTAAAGTTTCTTTTATTTAAGTTTCAAAGGCAGTATTTCTGATTTCTATATACTCTATATATTCAGTTCTTCTCTTTATATATAGCCAGTGTTTGAACTATACCATGGCCTTTGGAAAGCCCACTTTTTTGCATCTTGAGAGTGCCTTGCCACAATGATGTAGGCTATAAAACACACAGGATCCCTGTCTTTAAACAGCAATGTATAATCAAAGCATAATCTAATAAATATAAAAACAAATATTTATATAATTGTAACTAATATTACAGTAGCAATATAACTTAAGTAGGCTAAAAGAAAAAGCACCGCAAGTTTCGGTTTACTTTCTCGCTAAAAAGCGCTCGTTTTCCCCATCAATAATTTTGTGTATAAAAAAAGAACATTATTAGCCAATTGTATGAAGCAAATAAAATGAAACACAACGTCACATGATTTGTTTCGGAAAATGAATAAGCAGTGTCTCAGCGTCTATATGAAAGCATCTGGCTGTCAGTCTTTGACATGACTGGACTTTGCTCCTCAGCGCCCCCACACCTTGATGGTCATGACTAGAATAGTAAGTAGTTTTCTTTTTTTAAAGTGAGGTGTAAATCGCTGTCATGCATGAATGAATGATACTTTTGCTCTTTTGCACATAATAATCCATGATCACATCACACAATACTGAAACCGCACGTCAAAATAACTTTGACAATATTTTTTTGAGACCCCTAAAATTTCGTAAATCATGTTTTCAAGGGAGCCCGTGCCTTAAGTGAGCCAAGTTCGCCGTAGCTCCCCCTAGTTTGCACCCTGCATACAGCAGTTATTAACAAATTCTTAAGAGCGAAAACAGAAATAAAAGATTATAAACCAAAATTTGAAAAGACAAAGGCTAATCATGAATCATCCTTAAAAAAATCCTTAAGAAAGACCAAATGCAGCAAAACAATTCGGATGTGACTCAAAGTTTATTTTTCCAGTCTTAAAAGTGCCCCGAGCAGTTGTCTATAATAATAGTATATCCAAAAATCCAGCACACATTAACATTTCTCATTTCTAATTTTATTCTTATTACATATATTTAGCTTGCTTACCCCAGGGATGTTGGAGACGACCTCAAATGTCACACCACAGCCTGGAATAGTGCTCCTAGTTGACATCCGTCTCAAAAAATTTTGAGCGAAACCCTGGATATATAAATAAAAGACAAATAAGTATTTTTCTAGTGCACCTCATATTTTTGCCATGTACGATCCGATCCTGGATTAACATCCATGTTGATCCTGGAATATCATTTTTGTTCAAAAATGTAATCCATACCTATTCCCTACCTCTTAACCCAACCATAACTGTAAACTATTCCCAAAATCAGAGTAATACAAGTTGGGTAACACTCATGTAGAAGTGCATAAATCTAACTGTAAGCCTAAACTTAAAATAAATAAAGGAATCCCTTAATTCGGACCGGATGGTTGGAATGAATAGATGTTAATCCAGGAATATGTCCTACTTAGTGCAACCAGGTTGGCATCTTTAAAGTAGTGTAGAATTTATATGCAAAACAAGCAGCATGTTAAAGGCACAGTTCACCAAAAAATGAAAATTCTGTAATTTACCCGTTTCAAACCTTTATGAGTTTCTTTCTTCTGTTGAACATAAAAGAAGATGTTTAGAAAAATGTTGAAAACTTGTAACCATTGACTTCCATAGTATTTGTTTATATTGCTATGGAGGTCAATGGTTACAGGTTTTCAGCGGTCTCTAAAATATCTTCTTTTGTGCTCATAAAGGTTCAAAATAAAGTGACTAAATTACAACAGAATTGTTATTTTTGGGTGAACTATCCCTTTAAGCTGAAATATTTGGACAAAGATGACCCTTTTCTCCAGCTCTGATGACAGTGTAGGTTATATAAAAGCAGACTGCTCTGCACCTGTCGTCCAGTAATGTTCACGCAGATGCGTTTGCGCAGGACGAGCTGCATTTCTGCAGGGTGGCTGAGCTGCACCACAGTGCGGACGATCAAGTACACTCTCTGATCCGCAGTGGCTCCTCGACTCAGCTGTTGACATTCGTGGACGGTGGAGTCCCAAGAGGCTTCGGCTTTCACCTGGAAGAAAAATAGGCTTTAATGCAATCCTCCAAAAAAAACAACAACTAGAGACCCCAAGAGAGCCCCCGAGGCCACGCAGGTCAAACTCGCACCTCTCCATCATAGTGTTTGACTATCTGAAGGTCGAAAAATTCATCCTCATCTTCCGAACTGAGAGTAGCGTCCCAACCGCCTGCCTCAGGGACGTCCAGATTCTCCTGAGAGCTGAAGTCATCAGCTAGAGCAAAGGAAGGAGGAACAACGAGTGTGAAAATGAGCGGTTAGATAAATAGAGCTTGCAGAAGGGAGAACTGCAAGAAAGGTCACAGAGGACGTTGCATTTAGCAAGAGGAAAACATACCGCTCAGGTCCAGGAAGAGCACTGGAATGTGAGTTTCCATCCCGGGTACTGGTACCCTGCCAAAGCAGACATAAAATCAACTCAAATGTTCCTGACTAAACATTTGCAAAACTGTTTAACTAATGCTGACACTCATTTAACAAAACAAAGGCTCAAATCTAAATATCAATCCATCAAAACCCATTGTTTTGCAATCTCTTAAAAAAAGAAAACTGCATTAATATCATACAAAACGTTACTTACAGTTAAACCAAAAATATTCAGACACCATTAACATTATCACAGTTTAATCGATTTCGAAAATAATAACAAAACATAACAAAAGGGCTACACAGTGGTGCAGTAGGTAGTACTGTCGCCTCACAGCAAGAAGGTCGCTGGTTTGAGCCTCAGCTGGGTCAGTTGGCATTTCTGTGTGGAGTTTGCATGTTCTCCACGTGTTTGTGTGGGTTTCCTTCGGGAGCTCCAGTTTCCCCCACAAGTCCAAAGACATGTGGTACAGGTGAATTGGGTTAGCTAAAATTGTCCGTAGTGTATGTGTGTGAACGAGAGTATGATTGTTTCCCAGTGATGGGTTGCAGCTGGAAGGGCATCCGCTGTGTAAAAACATGCTTTACCTTCCATGTGCCAGCATAGGTGTCTGTTAAAATACAAACTAGGCATAATTTTTTTTTTACTTTTAGGTTGAATGTAGATCCAAACACCTGTTTTACAGAAAAAGTGTGTTTTGAACGCTTACGATGCTCTAAATCTGCTGGTTTCAGATCATCAGACTGAATATTTTCCTGCATAGACTGCTGGTTGCGATCATGCCATCACAATGGTATAAACAGTTAAAAGGGTGATCAAACCTAAATTATCTATTATCTTAATAATTAATATTATTACTTAAAATAAAGATCAGAGAAAAACATCTCTCACAATTTAAACAGCTGACTCCCACCCATTTTGTTTTGACGTCCTCCAGAAGGGATCAATCATTAATAGAGGGGGGGTTATCCCCAGTGTAATTCACACACTTGAGTATGACAATATTTACACAGCTTTTTCTCAGATTCATCAAATCTGAACTTCTGCATTTTCCAATCTTGCTGCAGCAGCTTCATCACTTCCTGCTGTTTATTTTTAGTCAAATGGATAAAAAATTTTTAGACATGCGTCACAGTTTAGTTAATTTTGCTTTCATCATTTACATAAATTAACTGTAGTGTCCTGCAAAATGTAAATAAATTAATATATAAATAATATCTGGTGTCACAATCATTTTTGGTAGGACTGTGAAGTAGTTACTCGGTGTAAAAGCATATGGTGAGGCTGGATCAGTGTTGTACCATTCAGCAGGAGCTCCTGGTATTCCACTGCCAGCAGAGGGCACCATCACTGCATTTCTCTCCTCTGTAAGCGTCAGACGCCCCTCCAGCAGCTGAGCCTCCCTCTCCACATCATCCTCAGACTTATCTGCACAGAGAGAGCAAAGACGTTCATGTTTTCTCGATTTTTAATTTCACGCTGAGTTAAACCCATTTTTGAGTCCCAGCACTGATTTTGTCATGTTTTGCTCACATACTCATCATTAGTGCCCAAATAAGTGTGGGTACACTGTGAAAAAATGCAGGGTTCCAAACTAAACACATTTAAATGGATTGAACATAAAACAAGCTGTTTATTTAAATTAGTTTGAGCAAGCAGCAATATTTTTCGAGTGCATGTACACACACGCGCACACACACACACACACACACGCACAAACGCACACGCGCACACGCACGCAGAGTTTTATATAGATCTAAAAGCTGGCAAATCATTGCATTTTTTGTCTAGCTTATTTTCTTTTACTCATTTTTGAGTCCAAATTATATATTTTTTTGGCCAGAAAAGGAACAGCAGAAATTAAGATTGGGACCAGAGCATGATATGATATAAAAAAAGCAGCTAAATCAGATTCACATTTGGTCTGTCTGCTTTATGTATGTAATTACTCTGCTAGACTGTGATGGATGGCCACATGGACCTCCCAAACACAAAGCAGATTAGCAACAAAGTGAAGTCAGGAAAGAACTATTTGCTAGTCAAATATGGAGCAAAACAGCATGAGGTTTGTCTGTTTTACCTGATTTGCTGACTAGGGTCTGAAGATGTTGGTCCAGATATTCTTGTCTTTTAGTGAGAGCAGTGAGCCATTGATGCCGGAGACGCTCCAAATCTCGCTCCTAAAGGATAAAGATGTGATTGCTTGACAAATGTAACAGCATTTTTCTTTAATTAAAGGGATGGTTTACCATAAAACACCCACTCTGTGCTTGTTTTAAATCTTGAATACCCCATTTTGATTTTCTTTCTTCTGTTAAACACAAAAGATGATATTTTGAAGAAAGCTATGAACTTGTAACCATTGATTTCCATAGTGTTTGTTTTCCTATTGGATCTCAATACTTGAAGGTTTTTTAGATTTCTTTAAAATATCTTATTTTGTGTTTAATAGAAGAAGGAATCTCAAAGGTTTAAAATTCACATGATGGTGAGTAAACGGAGTCAATTTTTATTTTTGGGGAAACTATCCCTTTAAGGTTAAGCTTTTAATGGACAGGACGGTGAATTTAGACAGAAAACAGGTAGGAGGGAAACACAGTAACAAGAACAGATAACCAAGCAGACCAGATTCTCCTGAGCAGGTGTATGCAATGTAATTATAATATATTATAATATAATATAATATAATATAATATAATATAATATAATATAATATAATATAATATAATCAGATTCAGAGAGAGCTTTGTTGTCATTGTATGTTCACATATACGAGAAATTTGTTTTCATGACATCTTTTACAGTGCAACACAATTACAGAGACAGGACAAAACAGATAATAAATATATTTCAAAAATAGAAATGAATACAAATATACAAAATGACAAGAGTATGTACAGGTATATCACTACACAACGTTATATGTGCAGCTGTTATGTGCAAAATATAATATAATATAATATAATATAATATAATATAATATAATATAATATAATATAATATGTCAATAAACAGTTCCCTGTCAGAAAGCCTGAGGGTGTGTGTTATCCCCACTTTTATTTATGCTGTACACAAACATGTGTCAGAGCACATTTTAAAATCATTTCATTTTAAACTAGGCAGACGACACTGTGATTGTAAGCCTCCTCCAAGGAGATGAAAATAGTTATGGTCCTATAGTAGATCATTTAGTTCAGTGTTGTGAGGAGTCAAATCTAAAACTCAATGCAACAAAGATTATGAATATTAAATTTAGAAGGAATCATACAGCAGCTGAGGTGACTAATATCAGGGGTCAAAAAGTAGAATGGGTGTAGAACTACAAATGTTTGGGTACCATTATTGACCGATCTTTAAACTTTGAGGCAAACTGTGATGCTGTGTACAAGTAGGGGCATCGGTGTCTATATTGTCTCAGGAAATTATCACGTTTTCACATTGGCCCCAATATGCTTAATCTTTTTTTATCGTGCTCTTATCGAGTCTATTCTATCCTTTGCTCTGGTGGCATGGTTTGGAGGTCTGTCTCTCAAAAACAGGAATAGACTGAGCCAGGTTGTTAGGTGGTCTAGCAGGTTGATTGGTGAATCACAGGTGAGTGTTGAATCCCTGTATAGTAGGCAGCTTTTACGGATTGCCCAGAACATTAGTAGCTGTAGCTCTCATCCTCTTTTATAAGGTACTTTGAATGTGTATATGTGGGTATGTATATGTGTGATTTAATTGTTTGTATCAAATGCTAAACTTACTAACTAGTTAAACAAAATAAAATAAATAGAACAACACAACACAGCCGAACATACCTGATAACTGTCCATTTCATCACCCTCAGGCTACAAGAAAAAACAATATATAAATGTTACAGTGCATCAAACCACACTCAGACATCCTCCAGCGAAATGGTTCAGTGGAAAAGAAGGTTCACCTCTTGTGGCTCATTGTTTTTGGTCATCGGAACCTGCCTGATCTGCACACAACCGATGGAAACTCCCAGAATGATCTCTGATATTAATGGCATTGTGCCCGAATCTTGAACTGAACGCACCTCCACCTGAACTCGCCGAGACTGACCCTGAGAAACAAAGACACACAAAATCCCTGTGTTAACATGCCATGACAAAAACCTTAGAGCAAAATGATAAACACTGTGCTGATAGGATAGCAGAGCACAAATAGAGTCATAAATAAATCAACAAAAAAGCAAGAGTTTGCACAGAACCAGGAGTCAAAAATACCTTCTTCAATTCAATTCAAAGTTTATTTGTATAGCGCTTTTCACAACAATTATTGTTTCAAAGCAGCTTTACAAAAGGTGCATATTATTGCATTACAATCAAAATCAGAAAGTTAAGGTTATTAATTCCTATAACTTCATTAGTCATCAATAAAGCATGTGATTAAAGAAAAAAAAGTCTGAAGTTTTTTATTTTTTTATTTTATTTTTTTTATTTATTCATTTATTTTTTTGCTATACAGTCATTCTGATTGTAATCTAGGCTAATTAACTTACTGTGGTATAATTAATTGACCATACAGAAATATGAAGTGTCTTACCTGTTTGAGCTGGAAGATGCCACCCGTGCGAACATCTCGCGCTGGCACCACCTCCACAGGCATGTACTCTCCGTTCTCATTCAGCTCCAGAATCTGCACCCACATCTCCAGTTTACGTGTCACCTCACTCCACCTGAAGACACAAGAGAGCTGAATCAGTCCAAAAAACAGAAAGCAAGTCAGATGCCCCTGCACACAATGTTCTCTAAAAAGTTTCTACTGGAAAATTATGGCCCTTCATCAGTTTTCTCTCAATTTCCTTTTTTAAATCTTTCAGATTTTGGGGCGACTCCATTTCAAAAGCTTAAAGGGTTGGTTCACCCAAAAATTTAAATTCTCTTATTAATTACCATTATGTTGTTCCAATCCTGAGACCTTCAAACACAGATTAAAATATTTCAGAAAGACTAAGAGCTCTCTTATCCTCCATTGACAACAATAGTCATGAATCGTTTAAAATCCAGAAAAGAAACCAAAAACATAGTCAAAACATTGCTTGTAACATTAGTGGTGCAACTGCAATCATACGAAGCTCCACAAACATTTTTGTGAGCCAAACTAAACAAAACAGAAGATATGACTTTGTTCATGTCTTCAAGTATGTATTCTCTTTTACTTCAGGTCAGAGTTTGTTTACTGTGGGCAGTAGTAAAGTGCACCCTAATCTAAGGTGGTGAATAAATTGTATTTTGGCATTCAAAAATATTCTTAAAGCTTCAAATAAATTATATCTGCACCCCTAAAGTAACATGAAATGTTTTTGGTTGCTTTTCCATACTTTGAATGCCTCTGGACCAGGAATGGGCAAACTTGCTCCTGGAGGGCTGGTGTTCTGCAGAGTTTTGTTCCAACACAATTAAACAAACCTGAACCAGTGTCTTCAAGATCACTAGAACAATATAGGAAGGTGTGTTTGATTAGGGTTTGGTTAAGGCCCTACAGGACAGAGTTTGCCCATCCCTGCCCTGGACTGTTGATGTCTATAGAATGTCAGAGAGCACTTGGATTTTATCTAAAATATCTTCATTTTTGTTCTGAAGACAATCACTGGTCTTGAGGGATTGGAACAACATGAGGGTGAGTATTCAATAGTAGATTTTATATTTTGTGAACTAACCCTTACAAATCTTTTGACCATTCATTCATTGGACAACAGCATCTGGGGGGGAGGGGGTTGTAAACGCAAACTTTTGAAAACCTGTTTCAAAACAATTCAACTTTAAATCAAAGGATGGAAGAACATCTCAAAACAACCGAATGATTTGAGATTATTTTAGCCAAAATGTGTTAAATTGCAGAATTTAGACTAATTTTGATGACTGACCAATCAACCTACAATTACATAAGGCCATATAAATAAAGATTAGATTAAAGCTCAGTCTTTGGCTCACCTGTCACGTAATGTTCGTGTTTTGGCCTGGATGATGCTAAGATCCCACAGCGCAGGGTTTCTGCCTGGATCAGCCTGTCTGTGTCCATAAACCTCGATGCCTACAGCACCCTCAGTGAGATACTCGATAAATTCCTCTGTTACATTCACCGCATGCTCCTGCAGCACAGACAGAAAAACAACAGCAAATCCAAATGAGTGACGCACAATGTATCAGCATCGCATGATAAATGCTGATTTTTTTTATGTTATCGTTACTGGCCCAATATTAAAAATTAAGGTCATCTGATTGAATAAATGGATTGTTTCTTGTCTAATGTATGTTTGCAAAAAACTGATATCAAAATGAGTATTTTCTATCCATTACCAGCTTCCAAACATTGAATTATTGGTATTGGAAAAGAGTGTAACATCAGTGTATTCCCTACCCATGTGTAATGCACTTACAAGGAGATGCTGACAATTATTAAAAGTGAATTATAACTGCTAATGGTAAGGTTTTGAGGTATTGGCAAAAAGCATTATGTTTTCTAATTTAATTTAGTATCTGCTAGTGAATGCACTTATTATGACTTGTACCTTCAAGCTATCGAACACCACCATACAGTGGGGGTCTTTGCTGCTGGAGAAGGACGCTGAGGGATCTACTTCTGGGGCAACAATGATGGGCTCTGCTTGGTCCCAGAAGGAGTACTGACAAAAGACAAAATTGGAGAGGTACTGCGGGAGACCTGTAGCCTGCAGGATCTTAATCTGTAGGAGAGACAAGAGAAAAATAACTATTAGATAATATTCTAACAAGCACAATTGTTTTTTTAACACTGATAAGAAGAAAAAAAAAGTTTCTTAAACAGGAAATCAGCATAATAGAATGATTTCTGAAGAGACTCTGATGACTGGAGGAATGATGCTTAAAATTCAGGTTTAATTGTGCAAGCTTAAATTACACTTTATAATAATATAAAAATATAGTTAAAAATAATAAATAAATAAATATGCTTAATTCGAATAATATTTCACAATATTCCTATTTTACTGTATTTTTATCAAATAAATGCAGCCCTGGGAGCAGCATGAGAAAATCATTTGGCGACTTTTTTTTTTCTTTAGTAAAACATTAAAGGGATAGTTAACCATTGACTTCCATACAGTAACAGAAAAAAACAAATACTATGAATGTCAATGGCTATCGGTATCTAACATACTTCTAAAATATCTTATTTTGAGTTCAAAAGAGCCACAGCCATATCACCCTGCAGCCCAAGACCGGTTAAGAAGGGCTAAGCCTGGTCAGTACCTGGATGGGAGACCACATGGGAAAACCAAGATGCTGTTGGAAGTGGTGTTAGTGAGGCCAGCAGGAGGCGCTCAACCTGCAGTCTGTGAGTCCTAATGCCCCAGTAAAAGAGAAAGAGACACTATACTGTCATTGGGTGACATCACCCACTCACTGACAATATAGCGTCTCTTTCACTTTTACTGGCCAAATTCCTTCCATTGGCCCTTAAGCATCATGGCCTTTCAATCATCCCCATCCACCAAATTGGCTGCATCACTGTCTCTTCACTCCACCTATAGCTGGTGTGTGATCAGCGCACTGGCGCCATTGTCCTGTGGCTGCCATCGAACCATCTAAGTGGATGCTACACACTGGTGGTGGTGTGGAGAGACCCCCTCTCATGATTGTGAAGCGCTTTGGGCATAGCATAATTGGGTGTATACATAATAAGTGCGTTATATAAATACACATTTCATTACATTAAAAAAGAAAAAAAGTAACTCAAAAAGGTATGGAACCACTTGATGGAGATTAAATAGTGAGTAGATTATCATTTTTGAGTGAACTATCCCTTTCAAATGTTTAGCTTAAAATGAAGTCCTTTGTTACTAAGATCTCAAATTAGTCACCAAGATCTCAAATGAGTAAATAAAAGCACATTTGTATTTCTGCATGACCTATTCCTTTAAATTTCAAAACCAGTTTCCCAACCATTAGAGTTGGGCGTTCCATAGTAACCATTACTGTACTCTAATTACATTTTCAGGGAACGCAGTAGTGTAACGAATTACATTTTTAACTTGTGTAATTTGATTACAGTTACTAAAGTCGATGTAATTGCATTACTTACGATAAAAATATAGATTTTTGGAAGAAAAAAATGCTTCTTGTAAATAACGTTTTCCGCTACAAAGACAGTTAATAAATATGCACTTTTACAATGCTGGAGAACAAGAGCTGAAATGGTTGCTGAAAATAGTGGTTGTTTCTTCAAGTGAAAATACAGAAAATATTTAGATTTCATTGAGGTTAAAAAAAACTAAATTATTGCTGTACAATGCAGTCTATTTCTAGTCCCTAAAGATGTTGACCAGCAACTTGAAGCACTTGAACAGAAAGCATTCTATGACAATACTCGTCACCATGGAGGACATCGGTGCCTTAAACAGGCTAAACTGAATGTTTTTGTGCAGGATCGAGAGTGAAGGTATCTTCTGAATGTGAAGACATGTAGCTGCTTATGGGGCTGTTCATTTATCGTGTCTTATATCGTGTGTTATTTCTAATACAGGTGCACGGCTTGCTCACATGTTAGAAGCGCAAATTCTGCACGCTCGCATTTTCCAGGTGCACACAGCTGAAAACCGCGAGTCACGTGATTAAAATTGACCAATCAGCTTTATATGGAATATACAGATTTCAGCAGACTAATTACATCAAACATACACAGATCACCTTAACACTGTGGTGCTTTTTCATACTATGAAGGTCAACAATGGTTACAGATTTCCAGTTTTATTCTAAATTTCTTCTTTGTGTTAAAAAAAAGACAAACATGATTGGAAAAAGTAAATAATGAGAGAATTTTAAGTTTTAGGCAAACTAAGTCTTTAAATATGATGCTGCTGTGATCAACCCATTGTAACGTTTTCTCTGTGAATATTAAAATATTGAAAGAGCTGCAGTTTATTTAGTATTTTTTAGGTATGTTTTAAAAGTAACTTCAAAGTAATTAGTAATATGATTACTTTTTACATTAAGTAATTAGTAATGTTATCAAATTACAATTTTCCAGCGGTCAGTAATTTGTAATCTATTACTTTTTTACCCAACACTGCTCACCATACAGTACTCACCATACAGACCAGCTTGCGCTCCTGTACATCTCCGTCAGGGCTGCCATCACTCTCTTCACCTCCGCCTACACTGTCATCAAACCCTCCACCCATCCTCATCACCTCCACATGCAGTCGACCAGCCACCTGACACCAGCAACAAGTCAACAACACTTCAACCAAATACACTGTGTGTGTCTCATGCTTGATATGACGACTCTGTCGCATTCAATTTCACACATCAATCTGCACTTGATTTAATTTTAAATGCTGCTAGAAAAACATTTTCTTCAGAAAATGAAATGAGTCCATTATGAAATATTGAAGAACCACTGATCTCAGATGCCTGGCAGAGGAAAATGTATCATCCTCACCTCTCCTTTCTGATTGATGATTGGAACCGCGTATTGTAGCTTTACATCATAAAACAGACAGGAGAGGAATACATTGGCCACCCCAATTAAACTGTGATTGACCTGCTCATCGAAGAAAGGGTCGGCTCTCTTGAAGTATGAGCGCATCACCTATGAGATGGAGATATAGAGCACACACATACTGTAGTGTCACAGCATCATTTTTAATGCGATAATAACATTTCTGGTGATGTTTATTAAAAAAAAAAAAAAAAAAAAGCATACAGAGTTGTCTTCATCAAAGTCTTTCCACTCCTGGTAAAGTTCTCTCATGTCCACCAGACGGTTTTCCATCTTCTCAAGAGCCCAGATTTGCTTGCCTTTGCCTTTTCTCCTCACTTGTATAGCAGGTTCGCTCAGTACAGCATCTCTCTAAATACAAAAAAGTCAAGTTAATTTACATTGCATAATAAAGAAATACAGAACGATTAGAACATCTACATTAAGAATTAATCTTTTTTTTTAATAAAAATAAATAATGGTGATACAGTGGCTCAGTGGTTGGTGCTGTCACCTCACAGCAAGAAGGTTGCTGGTACGAGTGCCGGCTGGGTCAGTTGGCATTTCTGTGTGGAGTTTGCATGTTCTTTACGTGTTCGCCTGGGTTTCTTCCAGGTGTTCCCGTTTCTCCCACAGTCCAAAGACAAGCTCTATACTGTAGGTGAATTGATTAAATTAATTGGCCATAGTGTATGTGTGAATGAGAGTGTTTGGGTGTTTCCCAGTACTGGGTTGCAGCTGGAACAGCATCCGCTGTGTAAAACATATGCTGGATAAGGTGGCGGTTCATTTCGCTGTGACAAACCCTAATAAATAAAAGGACTAAGCCAAAAAGAAACTGAATGAATGAATGAATGAAAAATAAATACTCATTCTAGAATGTAAGAGTTGAATATTTTGTGGAGAAAAACATTTTTTTTATAACTTAAAGCTGTTTATTTTGTGCAAAACATTTTTTAGGAATAAGTAAGTCAGAATTTAGTTTTTTTATTTTTTATTATTAACCAAACAGCACATTTGCAGAGTTTTACATTCTTTTTAAAGCAATTTTGGATAAAACAATTAACTTAGATTTTATTGTGATTAATACTAAGTATTATATTTATCTTATTAGGAAATACATTATTCAACTGTAGGTGTAAAATTTCCTACAAATAAAAGGTTAAAACAGCCTACAATTAAAACCCTCATGCTTTTATTTTGATTTGTTGCAAGAAAGAAGATGTGGAACCTTTTTTTGAGGAAAGCATGGGTATTAGAGTTAACTAAAACTAAAACCAAAACAATAAAACTAAGAACTAAAACTAAACAAAAAAATACCATGGGCAAAAAAAAAAATTACAAACTTAAAAATAACTGGTTTTAGTTACTTTAAATAAGTAAAGTAAAATAGGATACACTCCTTTCTCTCTTATGCACCAGGGGCTGGTTGCACCAGCAGTGAGTAAGTTAAAACGTAGCCTAATTGTGACTTAAAAAGACACTGAGTTACAACTTACACATTGCTACATATTTATGTGTTGCACCACTAAACTTAGTTTAAACGTAACGCTACGTCCCAACTAAATATTTACGGCAGCCTCCCCCCCCCCATGTAAAACAGCAGAAAAGAAACAACAGCGAGATTAGCTTACATTGAAGAGCTTGCGATTATAATAAAGAATGACCTCCCTCTACTAACAGCCTTATTTTCCTCCCAAATCTCATATTGTTTTCAGTTTATGAAAGAAGAGTTTAATTTTCTATCAAGGAGTGTTTTGTATTAATTGTGTTCACCAATTCAAACGAGAATTTCTTCATGACCGAGTTTTTCTTCCTGCTCTCTTCTCTTTCATATGTAGGATATAAAATGTTTATTTGGTGTGCACTCACAGCTCGCAATGAAGGTGTGTGCGTCATCTGTTATTAGTGACTGACTGCAATGTGCTATAAAAATTTAAGTTATCATTTAAACTTTGATAGGACAGTTATATATAGACGCATTTGTTGCAGAATTTTAAAGCAGCTTAACGATTTAAATGCTTTTTTTTGGATATTACATCATTCAATGCGACTACACATGACTTTAAGGAAAGCTTAAGACCTACTAATTACGGTTTATCTTAAGAACAATTGGTGCAACGGGAGCAAGAAAACCTTAGTTACAAACTAGCTAGTAGTCACTAAGCCCCTAGTGCGAAGTTTACGTTTCAGTTAAAGAAAGAACTTACAAACAGATGGTGCAACCCTACCCAGGCACTTTGTTAGAAAGACTTCTACGTTTCAGTTTGTACAAATATTTTTATTCTTTGTACTTTTTTCTACAACCACTTACTCTATATCGAAAGTTTTAAATGGTTTATATTTATAAATAGCTCTTAGTTTCTATCGCATAACTTCCATTTCTCCAAATTTAGATTCTTGCTATTGGATATTATTTTGTGTTGTTATTATTTTTAAGTTCACAAGCGGTTGTGTAAGCATTTCACTGCAGATCTCACTGTGTATGACCAAAGACCATAAAATACACAAGACATGTCACTCATATCTTTTTGATTGGAAAAAAGTGTAATGGTCAATTTGGTGATTACAGCCGACCTTCTAGTACAGGAGCCAATCATCGATTGCTATAGACCAGGAATCACCAAACTTGTTCCTGGAGGACCGGTGTCCTGCAGATTTTAGCTCCAACCCAATTCAAACACTCCTAAACAAGCTAATCAAGCTTTTACTAGGTATACTTGAAACACCCAGGCAGGTGTGTTGAGGCAAGTTGGAGCTAAACACTGCAGAGCACCAGACCTCCAGAAACGAGATTGGTGACATGCAATATTTTTTACATAATAATAATAATTTTTTTCATTTGATTATTCAATAGCTGTATACCCAAATACAGTTTAACTCCTCAGAAAACAATAAAACGCTGTTTATTTAATTGTTATCTTTTTCTTAATTGATTTTATCCATGCTTGTAGATTGCTTCTTATATTTTATGCATATGCACTCCATTACAGAATAAACCCAATCAATTTCGCAAACAATGTAACTAGTAAAATTGTATTCATATTGCAATACATATCGCAGAATACATAAATATTGCAATGTTAGATTTTTCTAATATCGTGCAGCTCTACACCCGACCACACCAACAATGCTATAGATGCTGTGTGTGCTAGTGCAAAACATGTCTACCTTTCTGTTAGCGTTGAGGTTTGCGGCAGGGATCTGTAGAGTAACTCTGTACTCCGTTCTCTTGTCCAGCTCTTCGGCGATGAAACTGGCTTCCTGCACTAGCAGATTGGCCCGTACAATCTGCTCCCTCAGTTTCCTCAAGCTTCGCGTCAGCACAACCTCCCTGGTGGCATCACAATAAGAACATTAACAAACACACATATAAACTACTGCTAAACGTTTGGGATGAAGATCTTTTTATTCATGTTTTAAAGAAATCTCTAAAAAGGCTGCATTTATTTGATCAAAAACACAATGTAATGTAAACAGCAATTGTTTTGAAATATCTCAATTTAAATTAATGTTTTTATTTTTTTATTTTCATGGTTTATACATGTCATGTAATTAATTCCTGGGATTAAAAGCTGAATTTACAAATTTTTTTCAGTGTCACACAATGCTTCAGAATTGATTATAATATGCTCACTTGCTATTTTATTATGATCAATTATTACTTAGTTGCATTCACAAGTCTGTGTGTGTGTGTGTCCGTTTCTCCCCTGTCTCTCTCTTTCTCCTGCTTTTTCCTTAGTCACAGTTCCCGCTCTAATTAAGTCGGCAACATCGCCGGGGATTGGCTGGAGTGAAGGAGGATCTTTTTTAAAAAGTGGAACGGTCAGTGAGAGTGAATTGGATTGCATGTTGTTTGAAATTGTTGTAGGAAAATAATATTAGCGGTACTTGGTGTTGATTGTGTATTCCTGTGTTGTGTGTAACTTTGGTTTTCTTGTTGTTGTGATCCCTCCAGTTTATGTTACGTCCTTGACCCTAGACCAGGGTCGTAACAACTTGTATTTAAAACATGTTTTGTTTCTTATAATTATCAATATTGAAGAAAAAGAATCTTGTTCTTGTTTTTTGGAAACTGATTTACATTTTAGGCTTTTAAAATGGTATTTATAACTTTTCTTTTTTAATTGTAAAAGTTTTTTTTTAATTATTAAATGTCTTTCTTTCACTCTTGATAATGAATACAAGTGAATACATTTTAAATGGCACCTCTGTGCATCACAGAATCACACACACAGCAACCCAACAGTTTTCAACACTGATAATACAAATGACGAAAAAAGGATGATAAACATTTCTTGAGCAGCAAATCCAAGGATCATGCGACTCTCTTCAACTTTCAATCCCAGGAATAAATAAAAATGTTAAAATACATTCAATAAGAAAACAGTCATTATAAATGTCACTATTTTATAGTATTTGCTGTTCTTACATCAAACCAATGCAGTCTTGGTGAGCAGAACAGTCTCTATTAAAAACATGAATAAACCATACGGACTCCAAACTATTAAAGCTCACCTCTCCTCGCTCCACTGACGCAGACGATGCTGTGCACTGGATGATGAAGACATTCCTCCTTGACTCAGTCTCTCCATGCTGCGGTAGTGTGGCTGTAAGGGCTGTGACTGTGGGATTTGCATGCTCTGTCTGTCTGGAGTGAGTTGTCTGCGCAGCTGCTGCAGCTCCTGCTCATACATCAGCCGCTGACGCTCCAGAGCAGTTCGCTTCTCCTCCTCATGCTGGCGCTCCAGAGACTGCAAAACAGCTTGCATGGGGTCTAGAAGACAACAAAATAAGGTAATTTTTTAACATTATTGTTAGTAGGGCTGCACAATATTAGAAAAATCTAACAATGTGATATTATATCATTCTGGGATATATCTCGCAATATTTCCAAATGGCTTAATATCTCTATTTGGAAACAATTGATCATTTGAAATTGATTGGGATGTAGTGCAGTGTGGAGCATGTGCATAAAATATAAAAAGCAATCAACAAGCATAGATCCATACAATAAGGGAAAAGATATAGTTTTTCCAAGTCTAACAGTAATCAGATAATTGAATAATAAAAATAATTTAATTAAATGAATTTTTATTAAAGTTACAAAGGGTGTTATTTCTTATCCCTGAATGCTTTTAAAATCATTATATAGTTACAGACCTCAAAAACACATGCAAATGATAAATCCTAATAGCGATTTAACATTGCACATCCTGACATGTGACTATTGCGAATGATCACATTGCGATATCGATGCTAAAACGATATATATTGTGCAGCCCTAATTGCTAGTGCGCTTTTAAGAACAATATGCCAATTACTGCAGTCTTGATTGGTTAACCTTTTGTTTAATAATGAGTAGTTTGTCTCACCTGAATGGAAAATAGTGTCTATGTTTTCAAAAAAGTTTTTTTTTTAAAGCTATGCCAGGCAAACGAAAGCAAGGCAAGTTTATTTATATAGCATATGTCATACACAATGGTAATTAAAAGTGCTTTGCATAAGCAAGAATAAAAATTGAATGAAAAATAAAAACAAACAAGAATCAAAATGAACTAGTGAAAAAATGAACTAGTGTTCAAATGTTTAGGTTTGGCTAAATTTATATACAACTAAAATCAATTAAGAAACTACTTTGAATTTTTTTAATTTAAGATTTATAGTTATGCGTTAGTCGAAACAACAGATAATATTTCTTCAAATAAAAATAAATTAAAAAAATAAATAAATAAAACAATACAAATAAAATAATAATAATTTATTTAGAGCATTTATTTGCATACAATTAAATACGTAAAAAAGTCAAGTCAAAATTTAAAATGTTTATTCTTAGTTAAGTGGACACTTAATCGGTGCAAGACACTGAAAAAAAAACGTTTTGGTAATCTTCAATTAAAGTCTGACCATTTGCTTCTGTTTAAAGGAGATCTGCTGATCAGTTTAACAGCTTCAGCCACAATATCCTTAGCCACGCCCCTCCTACTGTTAGTTTGCTATGAGAATGACGTGCAAAAACCACAGACTCAATATTCAGTTTAAGTTGGAAATACATCAACATACTGAAATAAGTATGAGCAACTTTGGCTTCACGCTAGGGCTGCACATTATATCGTTTCAGCATCGATATCGCAATGTGTTCATTCAGAATATTCACATCGCAGAACATGCAACATTGAGTTTATATTATAATTTATCATGTTGCCTGTGATTGTATAATGATCTTAAAAGCATTCAGGGATAATAAATTACACCGTTTGTGATCTTAACTACGATTAATTTTATTGAATTATTTTTATTTTTATCATTTAGTTACTGTACTTGAATACTGTTAGGAGTCAGGAAATGATAAAACACTTCATTTCAATTGTATCTTTTTCTTGATTGTATTTATAGATTGTCATGCATGAAAATACTCACAACACATGCAAATGGAGAAATACACTGCAAATAGCACAGACCACAGCGAAAATGTGTCAAGAGACCCCAAAAAGTTTATAGATTGTTTATTAGATTGTATGAAGATGCACTTCCACTGCAGATTCATCCCAATCGATCGATCTAACATTATAAATTATTTTAAAATAGAGATATTAAGTCATCTGGTGAAATTGTTTTCATTTCACAATTTATAATCGTAAAGTAAAAAAATTATGCAATGTTAGATTTTTCCAATATCATGCAGCCCTGCTTCACGCAGACTTTAAACTGCAATAAGAACTATTATAGTTACTTACAATGTAAAAGTTTTCCTTTAACAAATAAATTTATCCTTGATAGCTTCAAAAACACTTTTAAAAAATCTTTCTGACCCCCAAACCTTTGAACGGTAGAATAGATAAAAGGTTTTAAAAAGTCGTATTTCTTTTAACCTCGCTTTCTAAGGTATTCTGTGTGGCTAAAACTCACCGTTGCTTCCCAAAGCCTTCATCATGACCTCAGTCTGAGCAAACTCGTAGCTGAAGCTGACCTCACTGGACACCTCGCTGGCAGTGTCTCCTTCTCCGTCCAGCTGCTCGTTGCTGTTACTGCTCTTCATGTTCCCTCCCTCACCCTCCTCTTCCTCACCCCGCAGGCGCCTCTTTGGAAGGTTTATTCTGAGCGAGACACACAGATATTCATAATGCACTTTCAATTACAAATACAGAAAGCCGCTGCGTGACACTCTAGAGTCCGGAATAATAAAAACTGACCTGAAAAAGTGATTGTTTCCCCAAAGAATACGATCGCCATGGTGAAGCTGCTGCCGGCTGGTGACTGGAGAGCCGTTCACACATGTTCTGCAACACAGGGAACATCAGCTTATTTTATTAAACTAAAGGTGAAATAAGACTTACCTAGAGTGGCCTCATTACAATTGGCACCCTTAGGACATATGAACCAAGAAGGCTGTAAAAAAAATGTCTTTGTTATTATAGTCAAAATATTAAAGTTTGTAGGAAATTAAAATTTACAATGATTATTTGTAACAATGAATTCATACAAGTTTATCCACTAAACTGATTGACTTAATTCACTTCAATCAAGATCCAACCATTTGTTTCTAAATTTGGAGTAGCGGTAAAGCTGTGTTGAAGTCAGTTTGACAGCTTAAGCCACAATACTCTTAAACACACCCCTCTTCCCGGTACTTTACTTAGACGGAATGATGAGCAAAAGGAAAGCCCCGCCCCCTACTCAATATTCTGTTTCAATAAGAAGCACACACATTCATTCATTCAATTATTTTCCTCCGGCTTAGTCCCTTTATTCAGACTGAACAGCGAATGCCCTTCCAGTTACAACCCAGTACTAGGAAACACCCATACACTCTCATTCACTCACATACACTATGGCCTGTTTAGTTTATTCAATTCAATTATAGCACATGTCTTTGGACTGTAAGGGAAACCGGAACACCCGGAGGATACCCACGCCAATATGGGGAGAACATGTAAACTCCACACAGAAATGCCAACTAGCCCAGCCCGGACTCGAACCAGCGACCTTCTTGCTGTGTGGCGACAGTGATGTTATCCAATGTTATGCTATCTTTCTATGAGGAACACTGTATTTAAACATTTGAATAATTTTCAGTGCTAACCACTAAGCCACCGTGTCACACGCACATCAGACCTGGTGCAGATGCAATCTGAGCTGCATGCAATTCTTTTTAATAGGCCCTCCTTACCCCACCTTTAAGCCTACACTAGCTCCATTAAGTGCATTGTGTCTGACATTGCATCGCTGAGGGATGCAATCTCAGCTTGCATCATAAAGGCTGCATCCTGATACTATTGATATCATGATGCACATCCGATTCAAACACTCATGAAAAACATTGTGCAGTGCTTGATTTCATTCTTTTGGAACCAATTGGATCATTTGAAGACGGTCATGGCTAACATAATGGAGGAAGACTGACTGAATTGATCAAAGCAGGGAGGAAACAAGACACTCCCTGATAGCCCCGCCCTAAAGAACTGGTAACCACACCCCAAAAGACTGATAGCCCTGCTCAAAAGGTGCTCCATGTGACCAGATGGGAAGAAAAGTTGTTTCACAGGGGAAAGGGAAGCATCGTTTAAAGATTATGAGGGCATTTATCATCATTATTTTTTTCAAAATAATGAAGCGCACAGATATATCATTAATAACATGCACTTCTATATACAGGTCATATAAAAAAATAACAAGTGTAAATTTTAATTTTGAAGGAGCTATTAATATATTTTTTGCTTAATTCTGTATCTATTTATTTATTTCGTGTCTTGTCTTGTCTTTCTTTTTTTGAGAGAGAGAGAGAGAGTTTGTGCCCCCTGCAGGTGAAAAGTTCTATAAAGATGAAGGTGACTGGTTGGAGGTGTGGCTGACTGGGGAGTGCACAGCTTTTTGACCTTGAGCTGTTCTATTTGGTTTCCAGTCCAATTTATGATTGTATATTTATCCAAATAATGATCTGTTATTGATTTGTTTTGTTTTTGTGTTTTGTTTCTCTTGAACAATTAAACCAGTTCCTCCTTTTTTGATCATACATCCTCTCTTGACTTTTTTTTTTTTTATTTACAACCATGCATCAAAAGATTCCCCAGTTAACACCACATAGAACGAGCCAAGGACATTTAAAACGCAGGATATATTGCCATTATAGATTTCGTGCCAACTTTAAGACTTACCTACAGTGCCCTTCATTATGTTTGCTTAATATTAATACTGTGAAAATAGTTTTTATTTATACATCAAAATATTAAGCAGAAACTTCAGCTCTTTTTGAGAAACAGTTCATTTAACTTATATTTAACCATTTGATTTGTTTCTTAAAACAAGTGTGGCACATTTAAAGGCAAATGATTATTAATATATATTAGTTAAGTATATTTCTATTAAAATTCTTGATTTTTTAGAACATGGACTTACCCTTCTGGGCTTTAAACCCATGACCTTTTTGTTTACCTACGTCAAACACTTGCACTACTATCATTACTGCATTACCTTGAGTTTCTGTAAGGGTTGATGAAGACGGCTCCCTCAGGTGTGATGTTAATGACACAATGCTCTGCTTGGATGCCCATTCCGCATAGCTGGATGTCCTGCGAGTCTGCTGAGCCAACCTTAGTGTGTTCCTGAAAAACATCTCTGCATTAACTGCTGCTATTGCACACCAGAACCCTAAACACTTAATGTATACCACATCCTAAAGGCCAAATGTACATTATAACAACACAACATGCTTTTCATCAGAGGGCAAAATATGTTAAAATAATAATAAAATAAATAACTAACAATGATGAATTGTTTGACTATTATTATTATTATTAGCATTATTATTATTATTAGCATTATTATTATCTATGTTTTTAACTTATTACCACCTTTTTTCCATTCAAAGTTTAGGGAACATATTACATAACAGTAATATTTAGCAAAAGATTAAAGTTTAAAACAACAATTTTCTAATTAAACACATTCTACAATGTAATCCTGTGATTTTTTATCAGCAGCCTCAAATTTATAGTTTTCAATGTTAGATGATGCTTCAGAAATGATTTTAAGATGCTGAGTTGGCGCTCAAGCCAAAGTCAAAAGTGAACATTATTAAACATGCAGTATCTTAAAAGTAGTCCTGGTTGTCCATTACCTTTAGATAATAAACCAGCAGTTCATTAAGGGCAGGGTCAGCGTTGAGGTTGACCAGGAAGCATTTATCTTCTCCAACCTTAATACCAGAGGACTGTAAAGAGATTCCAAGGCTCTCCAGCTGCTTCTGTCTCTCCTGTGCAGAAAAAAAAATGCAAAAAGAAGTGCATTTGACTAAAGGTTTCATATCACATGAACTACAGAGTAACCAGACATAAACAATACAATCCAGACAAAACAAACAGTCAAAATTACAGTTGCGGTTACCTGTGCAATTTCCTCAGTTTTGCGAAGTTTCTCTTCCCAGGTGACCGTCATCTCTTGGATCAGCTTCTCAGATTCTTCCAGTCTCTCTTTCAGCTCTGGTGCCTTCATAGACTGCAAAGTAACATTGCATGCTCTTAGCACAATGATTTTGACTTTTTGCAAATGCAAATTAAAAGGTAAAAATCCCTTTTACTGATGATCTGCAAATCATTATTCAAAAAATTGAGTGCAACAACTAAGTAGCTTTCACTTGTCATGTTGACAAACAGAAATCTTCTTAGGGCATGCTCACACTATTTACAGTTGCCTTAAACCGTGCCGAAGCATGATCGTCCCCCCTCCCCTCTCCCTCGACAGCCTGCACTCAGACTGCCTTGCGAACCGGAACACGCTCACATCATTGATGATGTGACTATTCATTTTAACAGGAAGAGAAGTGCTCTCGCTCAGCACAGTGAAGATTGCTTTAGTTACATCGATTTGGGATGCAGTGACACACAGTCAAATACTTTGCTGAACAGATTCAGCACTTTTGACGCTCATAAATGATCTTAAAAGTCTTCGTGCTGCAGGTATTAGGAGGTTTGCTGAAGGTGTAGCTGATGCGCAGTGTGGGGTTTGTATCTTTAATAAACCATGACAGTTTGCATTAATTGAAAAGTAAGAATAATTAACAAATCCATAAGAAACATTCCATAAAAGTGATGTTGCGTCTTCAGTTTCTAGCTCAGGCGTGCTTTGCACTCACATTACAAGTGTACCGCACCAAAGCCCAACTGAACTGCGCTTTGGCACACCTCTTTCAACCGGGCAAAGGCGCCCACTGATCCACATGCTTGAGCCAAGCGAACCGGGAAGCACAGGCTGCGGATTGCATAGTGTGAGTAAGCCCTTTGACTATCTCTGTAAAATGCTTAGTATGTATATAACTATAAATAAAGCTGCTTTGTTTACAACTAAGAAAATGCAATCGATCCTGCTGTAATATTAGTGCCACCTTCAGGCAGAGATTGAAACTGCATTTTTATTTATCATGTTACTATTTCATTTCATATCACATTACTATTTGTATTTTATATTCTTAAATCTAATCACTATCAGCCTGATTACAGTGCATTCATTTTACATTTCTAGTTTAAAACTATGAAGGAGAAAAAATATATAAACTGGTAATTGCTATCTAAAGCAGCAAATTTGCTTGTAATACATAAATAAAAATGCAAACAGAATCGACCATGAAAATCAAGATCACTAGCTAATTGGTTTTACATTATCTTATTGCAAGTCATCCATAATTCATATCAATGCTACTGGCCATTGTACATGCATTGTACAATGCAGCTGATATTCACTTTAATGGCAAGTGTGTACCTCAGCCTGCGTCAGCTGATCTCGCAATTTCTCCACTTCTTCTCTGAGCTCCCGGATGATCCTGGCATTGGGGTCTTCGTTGACCACAGCGTGGTTGACGATGCTCTTTGCTCGATCTGCATAGCGTAATGTTGACAGTGTCTCATCGTAATTATCTGCTGCTGGGCTCACGGTGGCAACCATAGCCGTACGACTGTTTCCACCCAGACTGTCCTGCAGTGGCATCAGAAGGACAGACTTTAAACATCTGTGCAAAGATCACTTTCCAGAGATCATACACTGCCGCTTAAGTGTTTAAGATCAGAAAAGAGCATATTCTTCTCACCAAGGCTGCATTTATTTGATCATTAATGCAGTAAATGCTGTGAAATGGTGGCATATTATCTCAGTTGAAAATGTTAATGAATGTGATTTAATATTGTATGAAATCCTGTGTTTTAAAAGTCAGTTTTCAACATCATTACTCGAGTCTTCGGAGTCAGGTGAAGCTTCAAAAAAAAAAAAAAAACATTTAATATTATCAGAGTTGAAAAATGTTGGGCTGCTTATTTTTGTATGGAAACTGTGAAATGTTACTAATCAAAAACATATATTTACTTTTATTCATCAAGAAGTAAAAACATTTAAGCAATTTTTTAGGTCAAACAAAACACTAATACTTTCCTCCTAAAAAAAAAAAAAAAAAAAAAAAAAAATCACAAATTTAGGAGTGAAATTTGACAATCAGATTAGAGCGGCAGTTAAATCTAGCTTCTTTCAATTAAGAAAACTAGCAAAAAATAAAGCAATATATTCCAAAACAACAGTTTGAGACAGTCATCTATGCATTTGTGACCACTAGGTTAGATTACTGTAATGTGCTCTGTATGTGGGAAGTAACAGGTTAGCTATTGCCATATGCACAAAGTGCAAAATGCTGCAGCATGCCTGTTAACTGGTACTCGCAAGTATGACCACAACTCCCTTATGTTAGCTTCGCTTCATTTGTTGCCAGTTCATTTTAGAATACCCTTTAAGATTCTCTTATTTGTTTTTAAATCTCTAAATGTCTTTCCCCACCTGATTCCCCCCTATAAGCACACACGTTCTTTTGGGATCAGCTGATTAGCTTCTACTTATTGGACCAAAAACAAAGCATAAGCTTAGAGGGGATCGTATTTTCACTGTGGTAGGTCCTAGACTTTGGAATGATTTGCCGCTGCACATAAGACAGGCCTCTTCTGTGTTCTCATTTAAATCAGCTCTTAAAACTCTTTTTTTTACTAACTGGTTATTTTATTCCATATGCTTTTTAAGTAGTTTAGCTATATTTTATGTTTAATTTAATGTATTTTATATACTATTAAGCTTATTATGTTGTATTTTTTCTCTACAGCACTTCTGTGTTTGTAAAGTGCTCTATAAATAAAGTTTGACTTGACTTAACTAAAAAAACTAAAGAAAAAAAATACAAAAAAAATTTTAAGCATCCATAAAACTATGACAAGAAAAAAAAATAGTAACATAAAACAGCAAATCAGCATATTTTATTGATTTAAGAAGGATAAAATGACAACAAAAACTTTTCACTCATGCTTGGAATGACAACAAATAATTAGATTATGAAACATGTCAAAATTTAAATATTATTCTAAATTTAAATAAGATTTCACTTTTTTTTTTAAAATCAAATTAATGCAGCCTTAATGAGGAGTAGAGACAATTTTCGAAAAAAAAAAGGCCTGATCCCAAACTTCAAATGGTAGTGTATATTATTCAAAGGTGTGTGTGTGTCTGGTAGTGATTTGGGAAAAATTTTAAAGTACTATGGAAATTCCCTGTCCCAGTGTTTACGGGACGGTATGAGTGTTGGTACCTTGAGCAGCCATGTCAGCACTGAATCTCTATAGGGCACAAACTTGTTCTTGTTTTTTCCAGCGCCCTGGTCTGCCAGCGCTGAGATCACCAAACCCAGGGTGGTTAGAGACCTGTCCGGTGGCAGGAGGAAAGATAGAGATGGAAAAAATAAGCAAAAAAGCAAAGAGAGACTCTTCACACAGAAATATGCGCCGGTGGGCCAAAAGCCTTTGCCAGATTTATAAAGCATTCTCAGAACAAACTGTGCCCTTAGATGAAGCCATATTAAAAGTCTGATTCTCCACAGTATAAAACACCTCTTTCAGACACTAAAAGAAAAAAGAGCATCGATGTTCCTAAAATATATTTTTGGATGACTACAATGTCCAGACACACTATTAGAGAGGAGCTTGGTAAAGAGTATGTCTACATACTAGTCAAAATATTTCAAAGCAGTTATTTTCCATGATATGTCCTGGTTAAAATGTAAAGCACTCATCAGACAGAAAAGAAAACACCTTAAATCAAGCTATAGGAAACATTCCAAAGTGAGACAGACATTCAAAGACACAATTAAGCAAGTTGCATCATTTTATCCCTAATGTTAAAGATTTTTTTTCCAAAAAAATATAAAAATGTTTATTTATTTTAAAAAAATAAAATAAAATAAAAAATTATATATATATATATATATATATATATATATATATATATATATATATATATATATATATATATATATATAATTTTACTTTAAATATGAATAATTATTTTACTCTGAACATAACAGAAATAATTATGAACTTAATATAATCATATATAATATAAGAAAAATATTCTACATTTAATTTATAATACTAAAATAAAATTTAATATTTGGAAATTATTAAATAGTATTTAAAAATTTGAAAATATTAAATAATATTTAAAAATTGAAAAATGAAAAATAAAATGTAAAATTTGAAAAATGAAAAATATTATTTAAAAATTGGAAAATAAAAATGTTGAAAACATAAAATTGTATTTAAAATGTAAAAAATATAAAACAATATTTAAAATTTAGAAAATATAACATAATATTTAAATTGTAGAAAATATAAAATAATATTTTTAAATTCAGAAAATATAAAATAAAATAGAAAATTTATATAATATAAAATAAAATTGAACATTTACAAAATATAAAATTTAGAAAACATAAAATAATATTTAAAAATGTGAAAGTGTGAAATAATGTGTTATATTTGGAAAACTGTTAGTTACATTATAAAAAATTACACGCACACCCTCATTCTGCAAACAATGCAATCCCTGTAGGGTATAATACCATAATACATTAACACACAGTATAATAATATTAATCTAACAGCAAAATAGAAATGTAATATTATTAGTTTCTGATTTAAGTCTACTTTTTTGGCTTGAAGTTTAAGCCTTTGATTTTCTTTATGTAAAATACATTTTATTATTTTGTTAGGCTGCAATTTGATCTAGACTTGTTCTTGACATGTGGCGTCAGATTTAGGGAAAATCCTCAATAGGTTTACATATAAAAGTATCAAAACAAAAACAAAAAAAGACGTAAAAAGGCTCCATGCATAATGAGTCAAGAGTGCACATACTTGTTGATGTTGCTGCCTTCTTTGAGCCGCTCGCCTGCAGCGCCCGTCTTTGCAGCTCTTTCACTTCCTGCCAGGTCCACCAAACTTAGCTTACTCACCTTCTCCCCGCTTGTCTGTAAAAAGAGAGCACAAAAAAAGAAATGAGAAATGCTACCATTAAATTTTATCACCAGCATACTGCTTAAAAATCAAAAATGCAGCACATGCCCTTCATTACGTACACATTTCCATGAACAAAACCAAGCTATCCTGGAAATAAAAAACCAAACAAACAGACGTAGGACTAATAACTAAAGGAAAAAAAAACAGCAAAATGATCCCAGACTACTGAACATTTCCATGGTTGTCAAGCCTGTCGGTGCTGGTGCTCCCTTTGAAACCAAGGGAAACGGCTTTAAACGTTAAATTTGTGTATGAATGACCAGGCTGGACAAATTCTGGTGAGCAGTCCTATATTACGAAGGAACAAAGGCAAGAGAGGCTATGGTGGACTGTAGACAAGTGTCCATTGTTCTCCTCTCTATTGCACAGCGCTGGAGCAGTGTGTGGGGTGGAGTTCTTTATTATATCCCAGCATCAGGCCTTACTGTATACAATCCCCCTGTTTGAGCATCACAGATGAGCTTTAATTGAGAGGAGAGGCAGAGGGATGCGAGCGGGAGCTGAGAAGATATGGGAAGTCGGGAGAGAAGCAGGGGAGAGGTGACCTGGACCGAGATTACGGTGCATTAAAACAACAAAGAGACTCCTTGTGCTGCAGGCTCCACATGCACATTGCCTGAGAATACTGAATCATATAGAGCCATAGAGTTCATTCGTTAATCGTTCACTGTTTAAAAGCTTACTCCATTGTTAGCATTACATTTTCCACATACAATCCTTCTTGACTCATTTTCACACTATTGCTGACCTTTACAATAAACAGGCTGTAATTGCTACTGTACCTTACAGAACTCTTACATGTGACTGACATCTATAGGCCCTGACATGCATTAATCCCTTGGATCACCATAAAAACTGTATGTAAAACTGTATGTAAACACCCTGGCAACAATGTAGAACATCATAGGAACCGTATAGAAATGCCTTGCCAACTATGCAGAATAAGCTAAAATGTACATTATTACATGGCTGTCTGAAATACTTGATTCTGATTGGTCAGTAACGACATTTCAAGGTATGTTATTCCCAGATAACAACTGTTAAAACTAACAACACAGACTAATCCGGGTACTCTGAATCATCTACATTGTATAAATCAATAGCTATCCAATTACTGTGCGTTCACAACGAAAGCGGTGAGAGCGTCCAAAGTCGCTCTGGCTGCCCTGGCGACAACCCTGTCTGCCTTCAGCTCCGGCGGCGAGAGCATCAAAAATCACTACATTGATCTCGTATTTGAAGGGGCGATTGCAGCATATCAGTTACATTCCTGCATAAACATGCTTTCTAGCGTAAAAATGTTGTGCACTTCTTATCAAATTCATTTAACAATGGAAGATCAATTTGCTTGTGGTGTAGCTTTGACCCCCCTTAATTATCCAATAAGTCCGCTTTTTTAAAGATAATTATATGTCACATTAATGCAAATTAGTAACTTGCCAGTAACTTATTTAATGCATGTTCCTGTAAGAAAACATTGTAAATATTGGAAATCCGGCGACCGGAATAATCAAACACTTGGGAACAACTGTGGTCGGAACCAAAGTTCACAGGTCAGTGTTTTCTGAACTCCTCTCAAGCGGTGGACTTCTTCATTCTGATTGCTTGCCGCCGAACTGTGTCATAGCTCATTACCATAAAGTTGACTTGATTTCAACTCTCCTCGAGGGCCACACCGGCGAAGACATGCCATGCTGTTCCTTGCCGCCTAGCAACACTAGCTCTCATTGAAAATGACTTCCAGCAACTTTGAGGCTCTCGCCGCTTTCGGTGTGAATGTACGGTTAGGCACCGTTTACACTAATACGCTTTAGCTTTAAATCAGCGTTTTAGAATGAAAATGATCCACACTGACATTTCACCTAGCATTTCTGAACAACTCTCGTCCACACTACATCGCTTAAAATGCAAATAACGTGACTGCACACACTCTGGCATGCGATGCAGCTTATGTGCACGTCTGAGCTCCAGGCAGTTAGCGGGTGCTTTAAGCACAGAACCCCAGGTGAGAGCAGCGCACGTCAGACTGTTCATCAAGAATCTACTGCTGGATTTAATCTCACTATATTTGTTAAAAGTGATATTTAATTCATCTTGTCTATATCTAACGACATATTCCCCCACTTTGGACTTTTGAATCTATTACTTGTTCTAAGGTAACGTGTTTTGGTAAGATAAGTTAATATATTAATTTTTGTAACCGCGTACACCGATTCTGCACATTTGACTAATTGCTTGCCTTTAATTATAATTAATGGGTTATACTTTTATAATGATCATTATTGACCATTAAAACTGATATTCAGCAAAAGAGAAGGTTATGTTTCATATTTTTCACTGAAAATGAAAGGAGGTAGTTATGTTATAGGCTCTGTTTGTCTATTAATATGCATAAAGTGAAGATGACGCTCATATAAATATGTAGCTACACAACACCTCATTATTTTTGGTGTCTATTAGGATGTTAATATCAAAATGAAAATAGGTAGTTCCTTAAATCATGTTTTCATTTTATTGTTAAGAGTGATGGGTGATGCCAATGAGGTTATAGAGTACACTGTTCCCTTTGAAGATTTACCCAATGTGTCCTCTGGAGTTTGTTTTCCATATAAAACTTCCAAAGTCTAAACTTACAAGGAGAGGATGCAAGACTGAACTTTGTGTAGGCTACTTAATATTGAGTGAAAAGCCTCAATCAGATCAGATCAGGCGAATGTCTGCAGCCATGCCTCCGTTTTCAAATGTCTCTGTTTTACCCCATATCCACACTAACACGGAGCAGCAGTGTTTTAAAATGAAAACAGCCTCTTCAGCATTTTCAAAATGCTCCATTTTCAGCACTCGAAGCTCCGGGGTAGTGTGGACAGAAGAAATAACCGTAGCAAAATGTATGTGTTTGAAACTAAACCGTATTAGGTGTAAACAGGGCCTAAAGTCAGGGCATACTCACACTATGTACTGTACAATTGCCTTGAACCGGGCCGAAGCATGCTTGTACACCCTCCAGTCTTCCCTGACAGCCCGCACTCACATCGCGTTCGGGCCTGAGCACACTTACGTCATCGAGGATGTGCTATTCAGTTTAAGATACACTCTCGCTCAGCACAAAGGACATTTCTTTATATCGTTTTAGTCGTTTGAGATGCAGTGACACGCAGTTTCGCCAAACAAACCAGCCACCTTTGATGCTCATAAACAATCATAAAGTCCTCGTGCTACAGGAACTACAAGGTTTGCTGAAAGTGTAGCGGTCGTGCAGTGAGGGGTTTGCGTCTTTAATCTACGACAGTTTGAGTTCATTAAACAATAAGAATGATAAATAAGTCCATATGAAACAGTCCTTTAAAAGTCACGTCTTGTCTTCGGTTTCAGGCTTAGGCGCACTTTGCACACACTACAAGCTGAACCCAAGTAAACCGCGCTCTGGAACATCTCTTCCAACCGGAAGCCACACCTGAGCCTGATTCAGAGCATTCACACTTCTCAAACAAATCGGGACACAGGGCTGGGCACGGTTCCGATAGCATAGTGTAAGTGTTCCCTCAGTCGCACACCAGATGCATGGCTTATCATCCTCAGAACCCCATAGCAACAGTCTGCAAACTGCTCAAATCATTCTCGCAAATACACATTATTAACCTCTAAGAATATTTTTGTAATTGCAAAGCAAACGCTGAAAGAAAACATTAGTGTTGAGCAGAATCAAGTTGATATCGTCATGCATGGACCATGTTAAAATCTCAAGCCATTTTCCATCATGTGGTAAAAATAGATTTGAATACAAAAGAATATGGAAATCAGAGGTAATGCATTGCCCTTCCTGCCTCTCCAGCAGTCTCATATCCTCACAGAGCTGTTTGCATGGGAAACCACAGCATGCAAAAGCACAGCGCTGATGACTATGCTGGAAAAACACAATCACACACAACCTTAAAGAAGGATGAGCTGACAAACACTTCATACATAAGGGCTTGGCCTGATGTGTGAGCATGAAGAACAAGCTAAAACTTCTACATTGCTCTGTTTTACCGTGTGTTTACACTTATGGTTTAATTGAAACAAACCCTTGAGAGAATGCTTTGTTATTGAGTTAAATTTGAGTGAGTGGTCTAAATCAACTAAAAACAACATAAGTAGATGTAAAGTCTAAAACTTTGCACAATTAACAGCTTGCTACACACAGGTGAGTCAGGATTAGTGCAGGTTTTTATGAGTGTAAGACATTTTTTAATATAATAGCATTACACCCAGAAATAATCACACTAAATAGCATCTTAAATTAAGCTGTTTTGTGCTGCGGTGCCTCACGATGATCGCCGACACCCTGTGTGAATTTAGCGCAAGTTTCAACAGGCTTTCTGAGCTTGAAGCACAGAAATTACACATTCGCATCACTTTATAATGAAAGAGATGAATAAGGAAACAACTTCTCACAAAAAGCAATGCCATGATCATATGATATTAAGACATCTTGCTCCCATGGAAAAACTATTTAAGTATTTTTTTAAGACTTAATAGTGGGAAACACTCTTTCCTCTCTGTATTAACCAGAAACTTTTTTTAATAAACAATCAATATCAATTTTACAAAGTCTCAATAAGGTAACTAAAATAAATATTTAAAAAAATAAATAGAATAAAGAATAGGATAGATATCAGCTTTTTCAAAAGTACATTATATTGATATATATTTATATAAATGGGCAGCACAATGGCGCAATGGGTAGCACAATCGCCTCAGAACAAGAAGGTTGCTGGTTCAAGCCCCGGCTGGCTTAGTTGGCATTTTTGTGTGGAGTTTGCATGTTCTCCCCATGTTTGCATGGGCTTCCTCTGGGTGCTTCGGTTTCCCCCACAAATCCAAAAACGTGTGGTACAGGTGAATTGGGTAGGCTAAATTGTCCCTAGTGTATGAGTGTGTGTGTGAAGGAGTGATGGGTTGCAACTGGAAGGGCATCCGCTGGGTAAAACATATGCTTGATAAGTTGGTGGTTCATTCCTCTGTGGCGACCCCAGATTAATAAAGGGACTAAGCCGAAAAGAAAAAAAAAATGAATGAAAGAATGAATGAATGAATTTATATAAATATTCTTGACAGCTGTACTGTCCACCCTACTCACACCTTCCTTTTTTTCTGATTGTAATGCAAAAAAACACGCCTTTTGCAAAGCTGCATAGGAACAATAATAATTGATAAAATGTTCAATAATGTTCAAATAAACTTGAACTGAATTGAATTCAATGAAAACCTGACTTTTATTGTCATAGTCAGAGCGGTCATCAAAAACACGTTTTGCTGCAGCAGATCAATGTCTATGTGCTTTTATAATTCCTGAAGCTGTTTTGACTCTTTGATATTGTATAAGCTGTTCATGAGTTCTCAAATGATAAAAATAACAACAAATGTACATATACAAAACAAGTACATTCATAGACGCCTTTTTGTTGTTGTTGTTTTCATCTTTAAAGAGATAGTTCACCCAAAAATAAAAATCGTCACTATTTACTTCTCCCTAAATTGATCCCAAATCTTTATGAGCTTCTTTATTCTGTTGAACATTTAAAAATATATACATTTTAAAAAACAACTGTGTTTTTTTACAGCTTTCTTCAAAATATTATCTTTTTGAGTTCAACAAAAGAAAGGAAGTCAAACAGGTTTGGAACAAGTGACGATTGAGTAAATTATGACAACTGTAAATTTTGATTTAAACCGTCCCTTTAAATAAAAAATAAAAAATAAAAAAACTCTAACAAACGCTAATTGAACCAGGACTAAACGTCAAATTTTCTTTGTTTGTATTGACCAAAAGAACCAAGACAACTGAACTGCAGTCTACAGTCTCTGGAGCTCTCTCCTTCTAGCATTGAGAACTCTTTAACATTTAGAGACATCTTTTGATTAACTATACAATGGGCAAAGTAAACTTTTATTGTACTTTTACTTGGATTTAAACCTGATTAGGCCTACATTTGTTAAAATTACTGAATTAAGTAAGTATTTACTATAATATTTTTTCTACTAGAGATAGTCTTATTTATTTAAATAAAAATAAACATTTTATGGTCAAAATTATAAGCCCACTTTAGTAATATTTCGATATATATGTTAGATTTTCTACAGAACAAACCACTTTTATACACTAGCTATGGTTCCATACAGTGATGCGAACTGAATTTATGGGCAAAACTGGAATATTGCATAAAAGACATGCTAATAAAGCAGTTTACATCCAACGAGTCAATACTAACAAAGTCCTCAACTCCTGATTGACTGCCGCCAAATATCAACAGTAAAAATTTCAATTTATTAAGGTAGGAGAAGCTGCATGAATCTTTTTTTATTTAATAAATGACTTGCGCCTCAGAAGGAGAGCGGTCTGGCTGCAGACTTGATGCAGTGCAATCTGAGCTGCATCCAATGCTTTTTAATGTGCTCACTTAAACCCACCCCTAACCCTACCCGTCACAGTGACGTCACTAGCTCCATTGAGTGCATTGTGTCTGACATTGCATCGCTAAGTGATGCAATCTCAGCTTGCATCATAGAGGCTGCATCCAGATACTATTGCTCAGAAGACAAATGAGGAAATGCAATGAACCCGTGGTTACGTTTGAAGGCGTGAGACACGGAACACAGACACTCTTGACAGTTCTGGAGGTAATTAATAATAAAATAACATTAGGGCATTTTAGAATGACCAAAACATTTCAGATGTCATTTCAGTTTGCTCAGCTTGCTGGTTTATCCATTCACACACACTTTTATCATCACATGATCTCTTATAACAAAATCACATGACCTTTTTTAATGCACATACTGGAATTTGCTCAGTAAAAGTGTTTCCATCATAGTTTATGCACATCTTATCGAATAAAAAGTTAATCCTACTCAGTTGTGCACATACGTTTTTCATGTGCATTTTCAAAATTGATGTGCATCTTGGTTTTCCATCAATGTTTTATGCACATATCCAAAATACACATGAAAATAGGTGGATGGAGATGTAGCAAATGACTTGCCTGATTAACCTTATTAAGCTTTTAAATTGCACTCCAAGCTGAATACTAGTATTTTGAAAAATATCAAGTAAAATATCATGTACTATAATCATGGCAAAGATAAAAGAAATCTGTTATTAGAAATTAGCTAATTAAACTATTATGTTTAGAAATGTGTTGAAAAATCTTTCTCTTGCACAGAAATTTGGAAAAATAGCAGGTAGGCTAATAATCTAATAATTCTGAATTCAACTGTATGTTTTATTTTACTGCAAAACACTTTGTGACTTCTTGTCTATGAAAGATGCTACATAAATTCATTTGACTTACTTACATAGTGCTAACATGCTAAGTTAAGATCTCTGCTGCAAGTCTTGAACCTGTTGAGCGACCAGCACAATCCAGACCCTGATGAATAATAGATAAGGGACTGGACACGAGTAGAGTCAGGTGATCGTGACATACGGCACAAAAGAAAAGCACAGTGACACCAGGCCAGCGCCGGAGGAGATCAGCTGACATCTAAACCCGGACACTCTATCATTTATTCATCAATTTTCCTGCCTTTTGCATGAGCTCACGATAAAGCAGATAAGGGAGGGTTTCTGCACTTAATTGCACATTTTATTTAATTGACTATTTCCAAACATTCTTTGACATTTTCAGCTGCTAAGATCTAGGTAGTTGCATGCATGAAACCAATTATGCAGTAACCTATAATAATGCTAAGTGTAAAGATCAAAAGCAAGGGTGGTGTAAAATGCTAAGAGGAACATTTGAGACTAATCGCTGTATTATGCCAGCACAGGTCCGCATCAGCTGATAAAAAGCACTCAGACACGTGCATCTATGAGATCATCAGGGCTGGACACAATGACTCATCTCTCGACCTTTAAATCCTGCAGTGCTTGGCTTTATTTCCTGAGGACATTACAAGAGTTGAGTTTTATCAGCAAACAGAAGCAAGACTATCCCCAAATTAAACGTTAAACATTTAAAGGGGTAGTTAACCCAAAACTGAACATTCAGACCCTTTAATGTTCCTGTTTTAGTTTCTTAATCTTTTTCAAATAGGAAGATATTTTGAAGAAAGTTGAAAAACTGTAACCGTTGGCTTCCATTCTGTTGTGTTCAACAGAAGAAAGAAACTTGAAAGTTTTAAAGCACACAAGAGTGAGTAAATTTTTAGTTTATTTTCATTTTTGAGTGAACTATCCCTTTAAAGCATAATGCATCAGGGAAAACTTTTGAAGAATGTTGAAAAACTGTAATCGTTGGCTTCCATTGTAGCCGTTTTTTTCCTACTATAGACAGGGTTTTTGCAGGTGTCACCAAGTTTAATTTAAGACTTTTAAAGACCTTTTTAAGGCCATTACGCATGAAAAATTATAATAAAAAACTATATTAATTTTAACCACAGGTGTCAAATCCAGTTCCTGGACAGCCGCAGCTCTGCACATTTTAGTTCCAAGCCTTCAACATATTAATCTGTAGGTTTCAAACACATCTGAAGGACTCTATTAGTTTAATCAGGTTTGTTTAATTAGGATTGAAAATAAACTGTGAAGAGCTGCGGCCCTCTAGGAACTGAATTTGACAACTGTGATCTATACAGTCTGTCCAGGTCAGTGTCGTGACCATATATTGTTTATACATATATGAAGAACTTTTAAACAAATAATATTATTGTAAGGAATATGATAAAAGCATATTGGTAAATAGAGATAAAGACTGTTTTTAAAGAGTCAGAATAAAAAAAAGAACGATTTTTTTTTTAAATGGATTGTTGGTAAATCGTAGGGTGTTGGAAATAGAAGAATTGAACATGTTTCTAGAACTGCAAGACTATATTCAAGTTACTTATTTAAGACTTTAATGGCTTACTTTTTTTTAATGTAAGACTTTTTAAGATCCTGGGCAGAAGAGGGCAAGACGCAGCAGAAGAGGGCAGCACAGTGGCGCGGTGGGTAGCGCTGTTTCCTCACAGCAAGAAGGTCGCTGGTTCGAGTTCCGGTTAAGTCAGTTGGCATTTCTGTGTGGAGTTTGCATGTTCTACCCGTGTTCGCGTGGGTTTCCTCCGGGTGCTCTGGTTTCCCCCACAGCCCAAAGACATGGTGAACTGAATAAGCTAAATTGGCAGTATTATATGTGTGTCAATGTAAGCCTGCATGGCTGTTTCCCAGTGTTGGGTTGTGGCTGGAAGGGCATCCGCTACGCAAAACAAAGGCTGGATAAGTTGGCGGTTCAATCCGCTGTGGCGACCCCTGATTAATAAAGGGACTAAGCCAAAAAGAAAGAATGAAGATCCCATGGATGCACTGTATGGAAGTCATTTGTTACAGATTTTCAGCGTTCTTCAAAATATCTTCTTTTGTGTTCAATAGAAAAAAGAAACTTGAAGGTTTTAAACCACAAAAGGGTTTAAATTGTTAGTTTATTTTCATTTTGAGTGGACTATCCCTTTAAAGCATAATGCATCAGGGAAAACACAGTTTTCCAAATATTCTATCATGTACAGTCCTCCAAGACTTTTTATAATAGCTAAAATTAGTATGAAAAAGTAAATCAGCGTTCACGGTAGCCAAATTATAAGCATATTAACATATAACCAGCGAAGTTTGCATGTTATTTGTTCAAGATTTAGAAATTTGACCTAGCCTCGACCGTGCAAAGACTTGCCATTTATAAAGGAGATGATTTACATAGAGAATGTAAAGTAGTAAAATCGAAATGGAAAAATGGCCATGACTTTTTTATGGTGACAGAACTTTAAGTAACATTAAAAGTGAACTTTGAAAAGACGTCATGCTTCAAATGTGTAGTGTCTGACCCATTTAAGTGATTTTACACTAGTCCTATCTCGCATCTAAATCTTAATCTATGAAAATCAGCTGAGGGCTTCAGAACAGTGTGTGTAAGTGTGTCCTTACCCCTGACTGCAGGTCCTTCAGAGTGTGTGTGAGGATGATATTGAAAACCGCATGTGAACGACTGCTCTCCTCATTCATATTGGTGGCCGCCACAGTGCGGGATTTATTCCCCTCAGACATCAAGGACTCGATGTCCTGTGGGTTGGAGAAAGGGATATGATTAGAATCTCAAATATGCTTTAAAAGGTCAGAACAACAGAACACGTATGCACATTTATATTTTGTAAATAAAAAAGAAAACAAAAAGTTCTCTAAAAATGAGGCAGGGAAAATAAATGAATTATGGTTACTGCAAAGAAACAGCTTTTAGATTTTGAACTGAAACAGGACTTATTGTGCATCTTTTGAATGTAGAATAGTGTTATTATGGATAATTAAAAATACAATTTAAATGTCTCATAAAACTAAGATAAAGTTTTTTAGAAGTTAGTATTGTTAGGTTTTAGGCTATCTATCAGTTAGTAAGCACCAAAACAGTGACAAAATTCCCGTTTAGAAGAAATAATACTGATATAAACATGTAAAGCCTTAAGTTTGTCACTTCTGCATAAATGGATTAACAGTTTTATTCACGTCACCTCATACTTTAGTTTCTCATCACATCATGACCAATCAAATCTTCTCTAGTATCCACCCATCTTCATGTTTCAATTAAGATTACGTCAAACGTTGAATAAAAAAATGCACATTTCAAAGCACTTCGAGAGACCTTTAAAAGCATAAAAAGATTTATTTTTATTTTTTCCAGCTAAAATAAAACAAAATGTTTTACCTTTTAAACTTATTTCAGATAGATGTAAATGTTTCTGTATTATATATAATTACAAAAATTTACCTGTTATTTAAAAGAAAAAAAAAAAAAAAAACAATCGCTACGATAAAAGTATAATAGAAAAAATAAAATTACCAAAACATTAATTAATTATTTAAACTAATCAAAACTATTAATGGTAATAAAAATTACACCACTTTGGAGTTCCATAAAAAGGATTTAATTTTAGATGAACAGATTAACCCAAAATATTTTATAACTTAAATCCAATATATATTGGTATTTTAATGCTTAAATATAATACCTATTATACATAAGGCAAAAAACAATTTCCATATTTCCCCATTCTGCTTTTTGCAGAATCTGGGCAGAATTTAAACAGTGGTAGGGAACATATGGCTCGTGAGCCACATGTGGCTCTTTGACCAAAAATATGTGGCTCTCCAGCTGTCTCCCTTCAATAATATTTTAAAATATTGAATTGTATTATTAATTACAGCAAGATGAATAAAAACTCAAAACTTACAATAAAAAGATTTCTCAACCAATGCATGTGTGTGGCGCTGTAGATTAACTTGAATCGCAACTCCAATAAAACAGCAAATAACCGGCATTCATATGCACAGGATTACCACAGAAACATACGTTGTTTGCCCTTTATTTTATAAATAATACTAAAATAGGATTTTTGTTCTTTAAAACTAGTCACAATAGCTATGTTTCCATCCAAAAATGCAAATTAACTTTATGCACAAAACAAGAATATTGAATAAAAGTCGAGCGAATAAAGCAGCATTTAAATCCAAAGAGTCAAAGAGAACAAAAATTGCCACTTCCCGATTAACTGGCGCCAAATATTAACAAAGGTTAAAAACAAAATTTGCTGCGGTAGGAGAAGCTGTGTGAATCTTTTCTTCATTTTATAGATGACTTGTGCCTTGGAAGGCAATCCTGACACGCAATGAACATGTAGTGGCGTTATAAAAGGGTGAGACGCGGAGCACAGACGCTCTTGATTCTGGAGGTCATTAATAATGACCTTAATAACTCTAATATTAAACAAGTTAAGGCATTTTAGAATGACCAAAACAACATTGTTTTACAATGTGCTCAACCCGCTGGTTTGTCTATTCACACAATTTTGTTATCACATTATCTCTTACAACAACATCACATGACCTTTTGTAATGCACATACTGGAATTTGTTTGGTAAAAGTGTTTCCATCTTAGTTTATGCACATCTTTTTTAATCAAATAAAATGTTTATATTTATGCGCTTATGGTTTTATGTGCATTTTCAAAATTCATATAACTGAAGAATGTATAGTCTTTAGTTTTTAATTCTATAATTTCATGTGAAACCGTAACAACCCAGCCATGAGGGACATTAAACCTTCCTGACTACTGGCTGAGCCAGAGTGATGCAAAATACTATAGGCAGGGTTATTACGACTCTGCCTATGTCTTCAGGTGACACTTTCAGGCCAAATAAACCCCTTTGTTGATAAACTTGTGTGGTCAGTGGCTTGGCAATTTTATTCACCTACCTACCTACTTCATTTGCATACTTTGTTTACCCATCTCCACATAGCCACTCCCCTCCTCCTAAGAGCACATTATAGACCGCACAGCTTTGTCTCAAATCTCACTTGTGATAGAACTTGCAGACTGTAGACCTTTTAAGTGACTCCTATAAGTTCTTACAGACTCATGGACTTCTTAAAAACGCTGTATGACTGCAGACTAACCAACAAGTCTCAATAAATTATTCTGCTTGTTTTGAAGTCTCCTGGACTGGAATCACTTTTCATTCATTTATTTTTTTACAACAATACTTTATTTTGAATTATTTGAAGTAACAGTGTTTTTTAACAAGTAAAATGTTTCTTCATATTAAATTGTGCTTCTTTTTAGAAAAAAGGACTGCTGCTTTTCATTCATAGACTTGCTCAACATGTGATGCTTCATATTTGTTTGTTTTTGTTTTGTTTAAACCAGTATTATTTATAGTTAATAGTGTATAAGTATATACAGTTAAAGTCAGAAGAATTAGCCCCCCCTTTAATTTTTTTTTTTCTTTTTTAGATGTCTCCCAAATGATGTTTAACGGAGCAAGGAAATTTTCATGGTATGTCTAATAATATTTTTTCTTCCGGAGAAAGTCTTATTTTTTTATTTCGGCTAGAATAAAAGCAGTTTTTAATTTTAATGTTCGATTTTAAGGTCATAATTATTAGCCCCTTTAAGCTATATTTTTATATAACCTTGCCTTACTGCCCTATCCTGCCTAGTGAACCTAATTAACCTAGTTACACCTTTAAATGTCACTTTAAGCTCTATAGAACTGTGTTGAAAAATATCTAGTCAAATATTATTTACTGTCATCATGGCAAAGATGAAATAAATCAGTTATTAGAAATGAGTTATTAAAACTTTTATGTTTAGAAATGTGTTGAAAAATTCTTCTCTCCGTTAAACAGAAATTGGAAAAAAATAAACAAACAAACAAACAGGGGGCTAATAATCTAGGGGGGCTAATAATTCTGACTTCAACTGTAAAAGTTACAGTTGAAGATATACAGATTAAAATATATATAAACACGCACACACATAAAAAAATGTATTGCCAAAAAAAACAAAAAAACTATCAGAAATGGCTCTTTGCTAAATAATGGTTCCCGTCCCCTGATCTATAATGATTTACAGTCCCCTAATACCTAAAACTTCAACAGTGACATGCCGTCTTGTGAGCGGACTACTAACATTCCTCAAGTAGGATTTACTTAGCATCAACTACAGGCCCAATGAGAGGATAAATAAGCCACATGACCAACTGAATGACTGAATATATTGTAAAAGAGGTAAGAGGTCAGTGATTATGCGAAGTGTGTGCATGTCATTCCACCATTAAAGCTATTTTCCTCCTATTATGTTACCTTGTAACTTTCTACCGCAAGCCTGGACAGACCATCCACATAAGGCCCCAAAACTTTATGTTCTCTCACTCTCAAGGCCTGTCGACTCCTGTGGGAAAAAAGCAAACAGATATTGTGTAAGACGGACGTCTACAGCAGGGTACGGCTCCGAGATTAAACGTATGACACAATAGGCTTCACCCTTTGGGGTCAAGCAGGTCCCGGACTTTCTCATTGTAGATTTCCATATAAGAGACTTCCACTGTGAAGCTTTCTTCCTCTCGCTGGTGTAGTACAGTCCTTTCAAACAGGGAACTACACAGTCTGGGGATCAAGCCGGGCTGGTCAACCGAACCCATCATGGTGTACGACTTTCCCGATCCTGGAGGAAAATACACGTTCTTGTGTTGCTTAATATAAATAATTATTTCTAAAAATAATTAGGCATGGTTAGGATTCTAGCGTGTTAAAAATATGATTGGCTAAAAAGAAAAAACACTGAAAGGTCACGTGTACAAAGCATTACTCACCAGTCTGCCCATATGCAAAAATACAGGCGTTGTAACCCTGAAAGGCATTGTGCAAAAGACTCTCCCCAAGGCACTGAAACACTACATCTTGACCTGGAAAATATGATTGAATGACAATTAGGATTTTAGTCTTGAGGGGTAAATCTGACAGAAAACCTGTGAGGAGCATTTCAATGTGTCAATCTAAAGTGACAATTAATCTAAACTAAGGTTATGGCACTAAAAGTAAGCTTGACCGTGTCTTCACATTCATTATGTAAAGGAGAGAAACTGGGGAAAACAGTAGAACCATCCAAGGCTTTGTTAATAAAAAGCTAAAATAATAATAATAATAATAATAATAATAATAATAATAATAATAATGCTTTTCAAAATAATTTGAATAATTTGTATTTATTTAGATCCCTATTAGCTATGACCAAAGGCACTGCTAGTCTTCCTGGGGTTCACACAAAAAAAAAAAACATAAATAAAATAACACAACATAAACAAAAACCCATAAACATAAATCAAATTTAAATAAAAAGAATACATTCATGCGTTATAACACTTCTAAACACGCATTACTTCCACCTTATGTAGCATCTCAAACTTCGGTAACACTTTGGAATAATGGTCCATTAGTTCATGTTAATGTATTTACTAACATTTATTAACCAAAGTTCAACATTAACTGATGCATTATTAAAATCTAAAATTGTGCTAGTGAAAATTAGTTAATGCGCAGTGAGTTAACACGAACTAACCTTATACAACATAAACAATATTATCTAACGTAACAAAGTTAAACAAAAACCATGATCAACGTACAGCTAATGATTTGTTTATGTTAGTAAATACTTTTAACATCAACTTAAGCACCATTATTTTAAGGTGTTACACACTTCTTCAATAATATAAAAAACATTTTATTTTTCTACAATTATTTCCTATACATAGACCACTTATAAACACAAATTTCCCTGATGTGCCTTTACTTGCTATTTAAAATCCTTTATCCTAGTTATCCTGACCAATGAAAACTCTTTTTCAAAAAGGAAAAAAAATCCTCAAAAATAAAATCTATGAATGCACTACTGAAACTTGAAAGATTTTTTTTTCGTGAAAATAATGTCCCTAAAAAAATTGCATTATTTGTCTAAAAATTAATTTAAATTAAATTCGTCCTGCAGAACGAGCACTATGACTTTGACTCTAATTTTACCGTCAACCTTAAGGTGACACACAGTACAGGCAAACTTGATGTGTAAACATAACCTTATCTTTACTAGCACCACCAGCACCAGGGAATGAACTAACAAATCAAAACAAGAAGATACAGATGAAATACTTGGTACTGAACCAGGACATAAACAATCTGGCTGCATAAAGTAGCGCTTCCAGAAACTGACCTGCAAACTTCTCTGTCTCTGACTCATCCATCGACCAAAAACAGTAGTCATAGGCGAAGGTCTGGAGAAAGGAGAGAGAATGTGAGATAAATAAGGTTACTTTGTGTTTATGTTAGTCCTATTCATGTCAAACTCTCTTTTTTTTATGAAGCAAGCATGTTCATATCAGAAAGAAAAGAAAGCATACCTTTGGCTGACCCCTGCTGCAAGATGAGATCCAGAGAGAGAGAGAGAGTGCACATAGAATAAAAAAGACAGAAAATAGAGCTTGTTTAAAAACTTTTTTGGATGCATTTCAGAAGATAGTACATACAATGTGGCATTGATAAAGCATAACATATATCAAAACTAAAAATAAACAAACATATTATCAACATATCATGTCAGTACTATTGCTATGTAATTTAATATATACATAGAATAGCATGAAAGGTACAACAATTGACAAAACAGTATACCAAATGAAAGTAATAGAAGGTTAACAGTAGTATAGACAGAACAATATAACATGCAATAGATTAAAAATAAGACATGCACAATACAATGTTTAAATGTACCATACATTGTACTATGTATTGAACTGCAGAACGACAGTATAAAAAGTGACAGTTCAATGCACTTGTATGTCAATAGTAAAATAAAAAAACGATGGGACAATAAAATGATAGCATTAAATTGATATTACTATAAACAGAAGTACAATACAACTAAAGTACAATTAATAGTTCACGATTATAAAATTTGGCTGACAATTAACTATGTGCACTATGGATGGGTCAAACTCAAAGAGTATGGGTCAAAATACTTGGCCTTCACACCACATTCACTTCCCTGTTGAATTGCTGCCTGTATGAGTTGCTGAAGACAAATGAACATTTTAAAGGTGCCATATACTTTATTTGTTAATAAGTTTAATTGTTCTCTGATATCTACAACTTCAGTAAAATCCAAAAATCTCCAGAAACGGTTTTCTAAGATCATTTATTACTACATAAAATACCCGTCGAATCAGAAGGTCCATGATTGACCATATATGGCTCATGTCGTTAATATTAATGAGCTGTGTTCACACCAGATGCAGCAAGCACGGATAAATGACGCTATTCATGCATAAATAAATGCGTGAACATTGAGTTTACTCTCTTCATTCGTGCATCAAATTCACTTTACAACAGATGCGGTTTCGTGTGATAGGCAGGGTTTCTGTCTGCCCGGTGACTTCATTGCTAAATGGCTAACATGGATTTTATTGAGAAAATATCTAGCACTAGATCCTTTCAGAGGTGCACCCTGCTCTGTGAGCTCATGAGCTCCTCCAGTAACTTAACCTGGATAATGGAAGCTTTCAGCAGTGCTTCCTACTGAGCCGAGCCCAGTTTGATGAACTGCTCTTGGTGTTGGCAAGGGGATTTTCTCCCGGGACACCAACAAAAGGCGCTACGTTATAATCATTCCCCTACAAGAGCAAGCTCCTGATTGGTTAAGGCATTGCAAATGTCTGCAGAAGTTCAGATTTTCGAACTCAAGTGATTTGCGCGAAACACAAGTTACGTGCGTCAATTGAGCAAAACGCTCAACTCGTGCCGCTTCATTCACGCAATTCGCGCCGCCTCATTCCCACGTATCGCACCGCAGGATGTCTATTCGCATCTTTGCATTGACTTGATATGTAAATTACTCGCGCTTGATGCTTCTTCCGTGTCTAGTGTAAACCCAGCATTACAGAAGACACACACACAGCATGATGTACGCTGAATACGGACAAATATAAACCCAATCAGAGTAATGTTAACCCATTTTGCTAACCAGATCTGTCGTGGATGAAGGCTAAATTATAATCAAACTTAATAAAAAAAAGAGTAGAGAGGTATAGTTTTGTATTTTGAAGCTATAGTCAAAGAAAACACAGTTAGGAATTAATATTATGCCTGCATAAACAGATGACAGTTGAGTTATTTGACATGATTCAGCAGCCTACACATGTTTGCTGAAACATACGCATCAAATTTCACAATAAACACAAAAAATTAACAAAAGACGTAACTAAAGATACCTTAAACCACCTTCTCAGAGTGGAAATGAATACATGTATAATCTGTAAATCTTGCATTTTGCGACCTGAGGCCAGTTTGAACGTGCCTCATGCTGTCGTTGCCCAGTATCGCACAGTAAGAAAATTGGTGCTCACGTTTTCAAAATAAAAGTCATACATACATAGAAAGTGAAATGTACACTTAAAAATAACTAGGGGAGGAAAATTATCATTGTTGTATCACTAGAAAATGTTGCTTATCAAGTGCAGCATGAGGCAAGCTTATTAATTTTTTTGATCTCAAAGCTTTTTTATGATCTCAGTGCTTGATGACATGGCTGCTCATCAGGTCCGAATGAACCACCCAAATTTGGTATACATGCAAATGCATAGGGCATGGCCCGTGAGTCTTGTCACAGTTTGTTTTGTCTTCTGATTGGCCTGTTGTCCACCAGGGTATTACACTTAAGGAATTTACATGAGAACGAGGAAACAGAGGCTCACAGTATTGCCATTTCCATTCACTGATCTTTTATTATTCTACTATGCCTTGGTATACCCTGATTTTTAATATACGGCACCTTTAGAGAATATCGGTAAAAGAATGTCGATAGTTTTCAATGACTTTCATAATAGTAAAAAGCTATGGAAATCAGTGGGCTTGAACAAGTAGTCAAGAAAGAAAGAAGAAAGAAACTCAAATAAGCTTGCAACAAGAGGAGGGTGAGTAAATGATAGCAGAATTCTCATTATTGATGAACTATTTCTATAATAAACAGCACTTTTTTTTCCTAGAATGAGCTTTAATTATCCCTGGACGTAAAAACAAATGTTCCAATTCTGTGGATCCACTGACTCACGGCTGACCAAAATAGCATGCCATCACTATAAAGGCACTCAAACGGGAACTAGGAACTGCAGGCTCTGCACACAATCACACATCCTGAGTGAATCCATGTCATCAGCTGTACTTTGCTCAGTGGACCTGAACACAAACAGGCCGTCTCTCGGTGAGAAAGCCCTGCCGTTTACAGGGTAAACACACATTTGGAGGCCTGACTTAAACGCTGTGTTATCTGTAGAGGGCACCTCAATGGCTTTAAACAGCACTCTGTGAACACAATGACCTATATAAGCAGTATTGACTGACTGTGAGAGAGAATTGAAGGATCCTGATCACACGCAGAGGACTGTGCCTTTCCAAGCCCAATTAATTCAATTCTGGTGTTGTTCTCTGGGTAATGAAAAAAAAAACACTAATCCAAATCTCTGTTCCAAACCACAGAAAGCAGACCAAACAATGAACAGAATTGGGGGAAATAATATAACACACTTCACGTGGTTATAAAAAAAAAAAAAAAAATTATATATATATATATATATATATATATATATATATATATATATATATATATATATATATATATATATAAAAGACAGAGACCATTTAAAAAGCAAAATAAAAGAAGATAATACATCAAGTACGGTTTAGTAGTAAAAGATCAAAAGAATTCTATTGAACTATTTCACCCCCTAGTATTTGTGCAAAAAAAATAAGTTCCTAGTGTAACACAAAATTTTTTTACAATAAGATCAAGAGCATGATCGTTATCAGAGAAATACAGAAATATATATTTTATAGACTAATTTAAATCATTTAAATAAGGATGATAAATAAAAAACAATGTTCCAAAGAAGTTTAACGTGAACTATAGAATAAGTGAAATAAAGTCATGCCCAGATTCCATGTGGGCCTAGTAATGAGATATGATGTGGTTCGGCAGCAAGCAATCGGAGTAATGTAATGTAGTAGTCCACCGCTTGAGAAGAATCAAGAGAGCACAGTCCTGTGAACTTTGGTTCAGACCACAGTTGTTCCCAAGGGTTTGATTATTGCAGTCGCTGGATTTTCAATTATTTACAATGTTTTCTTACAGGGACATACATTAACAAAAGTTACTGATGTGCATTAATGTTTTTTTTTCCTTAAAAAAGCAGGAATCTCATGGTAACCGTAAGACCGTGAAAAACAGTATTGCTGCTTTAGAAAATGTGAGACATATGGACACATATTGGATAAGTGAAGCAAAGCCACATCACAAGCAACAACTTGATACGCTAAAACAATGTAAACAATGTAACTGCGGGAATGTAACTGATTTTTCGATATGCTGCAACGGTTCCTTTAAATACGAGATATATGTAGCAAATTTTGACGCTCTCGCTGGTGGAGCAGTAAAGGCAAACAGCATTGTCGTCAGAGGAAACTTTTTATACCACTCTCTGCCTTCGGTGTGAACGCACAGTAATGCTAATGAATAAGCAATTAAAACAAAATTGCACATAATAATAATAGTAATAATAATAATTAATACATAAATGAAACACTATTCGTTTAAATGTCACAAAAGGCTAAATACTGTAAATAACAGGGCTTTGGGATGTCAGCTGGAAAGTTATGTTATTGATTCTAAAAATAAAGAAAACTTCTTTGCAACTGAAAACACGGATGAATCAGTCCCAATAAGAACAAAAAAAAAGCTAAAGTATAAATTGGATCTATTTCAAGCTGACTTAATGAATCTCGTAACTAATGATACCCTTTATGATGTGCAATTATTGGCAATTTATTCATGCTCTTTGCACATTTAGCAAAACATAAACCATGCCTTAATGACCATCTTCAGCAATGGCGACCCTTTTTATGATCCCAATCTAGAAAAATCCATATCCACAAGAGCTTATGGAAATCACTGAAGCGTATACGGCCATGCCATGCGTACAAATAAACAAGCCAGAGATGGAAAGCTGGGGCAAAAAAATATGCTTAGATTCAGTTCCAAGACCCCGGGCTCAGCTTGTCGTTTAAAATCAGGCCATGCCACACTTGTGGTATAATAAGTTGCACGATGACGTCCCCCCCCTCATCACACCACGCTGAGAACTGGGGGAGACGTTGGCGCCTAAAGGAAGTGTCAGGCTGAGCTTCATCTCGAGTTCCTGGAGGAGGTCGAGCAAACGGGCTGAACAAACACACATGGCAGATATTCAGAGAGCTGTTGTGGAGGCATCTGTAACACTAAGAATAATGTTTCTGAGTGACAGACCCTCAGTTCTCACAAGGGGTGTGCCACATCTTCAGTAATTATGGCATTGTTTTTATAAAGTGTT